TGAGAATCTAGGCATTGTTTTATCATGGCCTTGATTGAAATAAAACTTAAATTGGTTATGAAAAAAGAACAAAACACAGTAGAAGGCAGTACCATGACAAACAATTAAGAATTTGTTGTCATAACAGTATGACTAAGTTTAGAATCCGGCATGAAGGGAAGTGATAGATTAGTTTGATTTATCTATATTTAGTTGACACATTGTTGCAGTTTATTAGTTGATTTAAACTTGTTTATTGTATGCAACTGGGTACTAATGAGTTTTGGGTGCTTTAAAGTTATAAATATTGAACATAATCAATGATTGTTAATTAAAATTTCCAACATTGCATGATCTTGTCTCAACATGAAAGGTACTGAGTTAAGTAAAAGATGTTTGTTGATGAAAGTAGCAAAAGATAAGATGCATGAGTGCACTGGTGTTTTAGTTTTTATACTTTTATAGCTTAAAAGGTATGGGTATACTAGTTTTTCATAGTACTTTAGTCAGTCTGTCCATCTGTTAAACTTTTGTCATTTTTATGGCCCCGCAACTAAGTTGTTGGGGCCATATAGTTTTACCCTTGACCGTCATTCTGTCATTCTGTCATTCCGTCATTCCATCATTCTGTCATTCCGTCATTCCGTCATTCCGCAACAAACCATTATACACAATTTTTTTCTAAACGCCTTCAGTTATTGGGCTGATTTTTTATATGTGAGTATACCATGATGAGTTACAGATCAAGTTTATGTTTAGTTCCGCTATGCTGATTTTCATGTCGTTTCATCACATCTTGTTAGATCTGCAGTACATCCACTTCCTGTTTGCTGATAGCTCAATAACTCATTGATCAAGGAAATTTTTCATCAAACTAGCATTGGTCTTGAGAGCTGGATACTATCCATGCATGTTTGTGTCCACATGTGTTGTTGAAATTACAGATTTTTCAACTTTTTGAGACAGGGCCATTCTTGTCGTTCCGACACATCTAGTTTAATAAGAATTTAAAACAAATAAGCTTGCTGAAATATGGTACAATGGGGTGTATCCTGGTTTTTAACTCCGTGTTTGTCTGTAAATGACACATTTTTCTCTCATTTTCTCCCCAACTTCTAGACATAGCTTCTTGATAATGAATAGCAATCTTTGTATAGTTATGCCGTACAGTGTGACATGTTTTCAGTTCCTTAAATGTTCTTCTTTCTGTTTGCCCATAACATTGACCATAATTAGTTTAGTAAGATCTCATAGTAAATTTTGTTTAGGCTGTTGCCATGGTAAAGTTAAGGATTTTTTTGTCAGGTTTAATATCAGCATGTTTTTATGGCCCTGCCACAAAGTGGGCAGATCCTTATAGTTTACCCTTATCAATCATTCTGTCATTCTGTCATTCCATCATTCCGCCATTCCGAAACAAACAGTTATATAGACTTTTTTTATGAACACCTGCACATATTGAGCTGATTTTTAGTATGTGAGTCTACTATGATGAGGTACAGATTGAGTTTAAGTTTGGTTTTGCTCCACTGATTTGTGCCGAAATTACTGGCTTTGGACTTTGAAAACTTCTTGAAAATAAGAATTATACGGACTTTTATTTTCAAATTTTCACTCCTATAAATGGCTTCAAGCTGTTTTTTTCGAGCGGGGCCATTTGTGTCGTTCCGATAAATCTAGTTTTAACTTTTGTCCTTAGAATAAGGTAATCTGTATTTTATTTCCTGTCCTAAATAAACGCTTGATGTTAACCTCTTTTCCCAAATTAGTTATTTTTAGACGATATATTATCTCATAGTTCATCCTAACCTTTACAGAGACGGATCCAGGATTTAAGGTAAGGAGGGGGGTGCAAACTTAAATTGTCGCCGAGCAGAGCGAGGCAATAATATTTTTGAGGTAAAATTATCAAAATATTGTTTATTAAGCTGAGGACAACCCATGCTTTGCAAATTTTAGAGAGGGGGGGGGGGGGGGGGGAGGGGCTGTGCACGCCTGCCACGTTCAAAAGTTGTAATGTAGACTGCACAGAGCTAGAAAATTATTTCGTTAATATAATCACTCTTCAACTGTCAGAGACTTCTACAACATTAGTCTCGCTAACATTTAAAAAAAAATGTTATGTAAATGCTCCATAAACATGGTAAAGGGAATTATTTAAAAACACATTAAAGTATAAGATTCTAATTGCAGCTTGTTTGATATCTTGAACTGCAAGATGATCAACCAATTGTGATCATAATAGAATTGTTTGTATGGAAGACCGATGTAAATTCTTATATTGTATAGGAAATTACCCTCTATTTAAATTCCTAGGATTGACAAATCCTCAATCACGATTTTTTTTTTCATTATATGATATTATGATACCCGATGGTTTCTTATAAAAGATTTAATTTGACATTAAAAGCAAAATAATTAAACAAATTATTATTGACGAGAACTCATCCCTTTCTTTTATGAGTTTTGATGGACTTGATTATATATGGTTTCAAGCTAATATCATTTATGACAATATTATATTCTCGAAGGTCAATGAAATAATAGTAAGTATAAATAGATTTAACATACTGTTTGACAATACACATTTCACTGTAAGGCTGCATAATTTGTCATGAAACGGTTTGTAATATGAACAAAAAGACATGTGAGCAATATGTCAATGATACAGCAACCAAACCATACAAAATGTCAAAAGACATCTATATAGGTCATATACAGTCTTCCACAATAGACAGTTGTCTATATATATATAATATATCAAGCTTAAAACCATCCAGAGTCTTGCAAGTTGCAAATAATCTTAAGAGAGTCCTTCAAAGATCTTTCAGAAACACTAAATGCTTTGTTTGTTAGTAAAAGAGAATTAACTAACAATGCCATGGTTAAAAAAGAAAAAGACAAACAACAGTACACAAAACACAACATAGAAAACTAACGACTGAGCAACACGAACCCCACCAAAAACGGGGGGTGATCTCAGGTGCCCCGGAAGGGTAAGCAGATCCTGGGGTAATGATAGTTTTTGGATTTAGTGTAGCAATGTCTTAATGGTGAGTTTGTTTTGCTCAATCTGTAGTTTTTGTGTAACATTTTGGGGACTGTCTTTTCATTTTTTTTTTCCATCTACTAGCAATGGTGTAATGTCTGCTTTTCAGTATTGGATTTATAATTTTTATTCCTCTTGGAATCTTCTTATTTCCTTAATTATGTAAACTGAAACAGTCATGCTTAAAGTTTTGTTAACACACTTAGACTGTATTAATAAGAGTGCATTTGTTTCTAACCTAATCTTTGTCAGCATTGACTGTCATTATGTAAGCTTAACACTGGCAGTAACAAATACATCATTTAATTATTTTGCAGAACAAGACATGAAACAACCAATAGAAACAAATGCAATGTTGACTCTAGTCCCTAAGAATTCAAATAAAAACGATTATAGAGTATGTGAATTAATTGCACATTCATCATTTACTTAAAAGATAACATTGACGAATGGCAAAAATTTACCCGAAAAATGGACTATTTTTAGTAACTGCATAATTAGTCCTTTATCTCATTTAGGTTAGAAACAAGTTATATTAACACTCTTTATAGTCTAAACAAGGGCACCTTCCAGCATATGGTCTGCAAATTGTCAAAAAATATCACAAGGACCATAAGAGCTATGGTTTTGCAGCAACTTCCAGCATGTAGTCTTCCTGTTTCCTGTTGTTTGCCACAACATAGAATCATAGCCCATATTTACTAATAAATAATAATGGAAATGGAATATGTTATAAGTGTATAAATTAATGACATCAAATCCTTTAGCAGGAAGGGGAGGGGAGGGGGTAGCTTAAAGCATTGTTAATAATATAAAATGAATCATTCAGTTTCCATCATCTATTTCAAATAGTCCACATAAGCGATGAATGCTTTCAAAATGTTTTTAAGAGTAACACTCAAATTGTATTGGTCAAGTTCAAAGTATGGTTACATTCAATTAAGGAATGACTGTAATATTTTTTCTGTCTATGAAGAAATAACATCAAAAATGTGGTGCACACTGAATAACCAGCGTAGCATGTTATTTTAAAGTGTGCTACACATTTTTTATGTTATTTCTTCATAGACGAAAATTTACAGTCATTCCGTATAATTTAATTCTAAATTCCATTTTAAGCCGTAGTAAATCGTAAAAAAAACGTTGATGACGTCACTGTCACATGACAAAATTATGTCTATGAGGTGATAGACAAAACACTGTCAGCCAATCAGAAGAAGCTTGCATCCAAAATTAAATTATATTGTTATAACATGTTATCCTTCCCATTATAAATGCTTGTAATATTTGTCACTGAACATTAAGCACCCCATGAACCAATCTTTTTTCGAAATTAAAACATAGTGACTGGGACTTTTAGTAAAGAATCAAAATAAAACCAAACATCGTAGTTTTATGCCCTCTTATAAATTTTTACACATATGTATGTTAACACTGAAGCACAAAGTGTATTTATATATTTTATAAGTTTTTTTGTGATCGCTATTTTTAAAGGAAATTTTGTTTGTCTGTATAACATTTGTTTAAGATACTTTCAATCAGCAAGTATTCTACAACTTTTAATTTACAAAATGATAAAAATAAATCTTATTTGCCAAAGTATTTAATTGAAAACAACATTAAAGTCTCTACTTAACACTACAATCTGAAAGTGAATTAAATTAATATGTTTGTTATGTACACAAGTGATATTGAGCATAACATTAATATTTATTTTTGTATTGAATAATGTAAAATTTGGCTTTCTGGTATACATATAGCTGTCCATCTTGTAACAGTTTGTTCCATAATATAAAAATCCGCCCTCAGACATTTTTTTCTGGAGGAAAATGGAAACAAGGAGATTTGCTAATAGCACAACAAACCAATATTAAATGACAAAATCCTATGACCTGCCCTATAGATACTTTAAGTTTGACAGCTATCAAGGCAAAAATCAATATGTCACTAATCACCCAATAAACTAGCCGTTTTTTTGTCAAACCAGTGAAATACTGACAGGTAAAAGTAGGGTCCGCATCTGGTTCCGAATTTATCAACCTCTTGACAGGTATTACGTTTTGTCATACAGACACACCTGAGCGGCCAGGTAAATATGGTCCCTCAGTTACAGCAGGTGAAATGTAACCATAAATCAGTGTTGACTACACAATAATTCTTCATTATGGAGTGTTAGTTTGAAACTGTGTGACTCGGGAATGTTGTCATTATGATCATAACAGGAGATAAAGGTAAGGGATTATCAAATCTTACGTAACTTTTTAGAGAAAAAAAAATATAAGGAAGGACAGGATATATATTTTTTTCTTTTATACAACAACCTTCAATCATTTGATTTTATGTTCCTTATTTATTTAATTCTAATTTATTATATTACAAATTTTGGTATTGAACAAGAGTGGAAAAAAAATAAAAAACATAAGGAAATTGAGATTTGAATTTATTTGAGTTTTATTATAGGAAATGATTGATGTTAAGTTGTTTTCGTTTTTATCTTAAATAAATTTATCCTGACAATGAAAAAAAATAATCTGTATTCTAGATTGGGATGGGGGTAATTAGTTTAAACATGAAACAGACATACAGATATTGAAGCTTGACAAGCAAACTTTGCTAAATATCTGAATCAATGGTGTATTATAAATGCTCAGAGAAACACTCCCACAATGCCAAAATTTAATAAAAAAAGACACTGATTGCATTGAAATGGGATGACAAAAGATAAGAGTGGTTATACCCCTTGAAAGCTCTAGTGATTAAAAAATTATCAGGGATTAATTTTGCTTTTTTCTCCTTTTTAGTGCATCATGCTTTTTATAAAGACCTGTAGATGTCTTTTTTTAGTGTAGTGTTATTGTGTTTTTGGGTAGCTGTCTCATTGGAGTTGAGACCACATGTCCTTTAATTCTTATATATCTTACTGATCCATCTTTTTACTGTATAGAAGCCTTCATATAAAGTGCTTTACCATACTTCAGTTGGAAGATTTAGACTAATCAATCATATTAGATTTGTTGAAGTTGATATTGTCAAAAAGACCTGATATGACCACTGTCATTTGATTTTGATCCTCATGTTTGTAGTAGAATATAATAGTAGAGCAGAATATATAAGTAGAGCAATATTTTCATTCCAAAACTGCCACTTTGCCATCCTTTGATAGACTCTATTTGGGAATCTGAAACATTTGACCTCAGAATCTGCGACACTTGAACTAGTGACGTCATACAACAATCACTTTTCATTTGTGGTGTCAGACATTTTCTATTATGACGTCAAAATTTTACGAGAACCTTTGTGATGTCCAGTAATGGTGAACAAATAGCGATAAGGTGTATTGATCCCCTGACCGCTTGCACGGTTACTATTTCAGAAAATCACCACTAAACCAACTGAGCTAAAGCAGTGCTCCTTAACTCAGTTGCTAGAATGCTAGTTCGCTGTGCCATGGGTCCTTTTTGTCGAGCCTTCGACTTTAGTCGAAAAAGCGAGACATAGCGATCCTACATTCCGTCGGCGTCGGTGTCGTCGTCGTCGGCGGCGTCCACAAATATTCACTCTGTGGTTAAAGTTTTTGAAATTTTAATAACTTTCTGAAACTACCTTGGATTTCTACCAAACTTGGACAGAAGCTTGTTTATGATCATAAGATAGTATCCAGAAGTAAATTTTGTAAAAATAAAATTCCATTTTTTCCGTATTTTACTTATAAATGGACTTAGTTTTTCTGCCGGGAAATATTACATTCACTCTGTGGTTAAAGTTTTTAAAATTTTAATAACTTTCTTAAACTACCTTGGATTTCTACCAAACTTGGACAGAAGCTTGTTTATGATCATAAGATAGTATCCAGAAGGAAATTTTGTAAAATAATAAATCCATTTTTTCTGTATTTTACTTTTAAATGGACTTAGATTTTCTGCCAGGAAACAACACATTCACTCTGTGGTTAAAGTTTTTAAAATTTTAATAACTTTCTTATGCTATTTTGGATTTGTACCAAACTTGGACAGAAGCTTGTTTATGATCAAAAGCTAGTATCTAGAAGGAAATTTTGTAAAATAATAAATCCATTTTTTCCGTATTTTACTTTTAAATGGACTTAGATTTCCTGTCAGGAAACAACACATTCACTCTGTGGTTAAAGTTTTTTAAATTTTAATAACTTTCTTATACTATTTTGGATTTGCACCAAACTTTAACAGAAGCTTGTTTATGATCAAATGCTAGTATCTAGAAGGAAATTTTGTTTTCTTCAAGTTAACATTACATTCAGTCTGCAGATAAAGTTTTTAAACATTTATTAGATTCATAAACTATCTGGATTTTTACCAAACTTGGACAGAAACTTCTTACAATCAAAAGATAGTATCAAGAGGAATATTTTTATTGATTTACTTCCTCATTTTTGTTGAGCCTGCGATTAACAGAAAAAGTAGGCGAGACACTGGGTTCCGCGGAACCCTTACGAATTTTTTCAATCTCTGGCTGGTACAGTGGTAAACAGTTTTGTGCCTGCTCCAAATCAGATTACCATATGTATTATGTAATGTTGTTCTTTATTGTTTGTCACTTCCCTCTGAAATCACTCTAGGGAAATGTCTATATAATGTTATAAACACTGATGTTGGGCATTTATGAAGAAGTAGGATTCAGAAATCGGAAAAAACTTGACAATATGTTTTTTTTTGTTTGCCAGATTTTTCATTTTGTGTCAGACCTGTGAAAATTTGGTTAAGTCCTAATTTTAGTATGGCCCCAAAGGTTTTAAATGGCTAATACTTGAAAGTTCTTTTCAGAAATCAGAAACTGAAATTTGCATTTCTGACAATTGATTTTTGCATAGTACATTGAAGAGCAGAAAGAATAGTCTTGGAAATGCATGCATATAGCTTTTTGTTGTTGAAAATTTCAAATGTAATGTTTCTTCCAAGTCATGATTTTTTTTTGTGCCAATCTGAAATTCAAGATGGCTTTTGCTTCAGTGCACAACATGTTGCAGGGTAAACATTTAACCTGTAGATATAAAATACATAGTTAACCATGAGAGATTTCAAATTTTTTACAAAAAGATAAAAAGTAATATTGGGCTTGGGTATGTGCATAGAACCTGCTAATGTTTCAGCATCTTAAACATAGTATTATAGATACTTGCCAGTTTCAAAAGTACTATCTTGGCTTCTACCTAGCAGCTTCAAACTTTTGTCTTGGTGAAACTCTTTTCTCTCCTGCTTATCTTGAAAAATACTATGAAGAGCAAGTACATTCCTTTACTGCAGCTTGTTCAGTTAGCTGGCTGATTAAAAAATTAATTTTGAACAAAAGCTGTTTTTTTGTTTTTTTTAAGCTAGATGACTGCAAAATCAGCAGATTTCTGGATCTGTCTTTCGATTATGATATACAGCACACTTCAACTATAGAATTTTTTATTTTTTTTCGATTTCAGATTTATTGGACTATTATATATGATTTATTGGAGTGGTGAATTTCTTTTCATTTGAACACATAATGCATTAAGTCTGGTGGAATTAAAGATGTATTCTGTCATTTTCCATTGATTTTTTATACGATTTATTTTCTATACAAATTTCATAAAAACACAACCTGACATACTAAATCAATATAAGTTAATATAGAAATATACATTCACATGGATTTGTGCATAGAAACACCATAAAACTTCGAAAATTTCTATAAATCATTTGGTAAATGGAGGAGAAAAGAATGGGGGTCTTCAGGTGGATATTTTATGTCTCGGTAATCACAATTGTTGTCTGACTGTATATGTAACCTACTTATAAAGCCGTTAAATATACATCAAAGATAATAAGTTGTTGTGTAATTGCTGTTTTGATATCATGGGTAGGTGGGGTTGTATATGCATTCCTGCATAATTGATTTATAATTAAGAAACTGCACGAAACATGTGATGAGTGCAAGCTGGTTATATTTTGAAATCGAACTTCCTTGGACACTGTAAAACCATGTTATATTAAGTGCCCTGGGGCAGTCAGTATTATCACAATTTTCTGTAAACAAATCACAGAGTTCTCAACATATTTTTTTCACTGGTGGTCCTTGAAGAAAATCTGCTGGTCCTCAGACACTACTATTTCTGTTGCAAAAAATCAAAATTGTGTTGGTCTTTTGCAAAATTTTGGTGGTCAGGACCTTGGAACCTCCACTTTTCAGAGAACTCTGATATCATAGTAAGAAGGAAATCAACAGGAAAGGGACTTGTAGCAAGTTTACTTCACATTACTTCAGTTGAAAACAAAATTAAAACCTGAGCTCTTCAGTCAACCTACTGCCAAAATCAAAGTTTTAGTACTGAAGCAATTTCCTTTTTGTGAGTGACACTCCATCATGTTCTGTTAATAGAAATGCTTATGATCTGTGTTTTACATCTATGGAGGTTTTTAGCCCAGTTGTGAACTTGGCTTATAGTTTGAATCTGATGAAAGCAATCTAGGTGTCCTACCATCCAGGTATCCTAGCATCCTGATGTCATCATTTAGATTTCTGACTTTACAGACTTCCTTGTATCCATATAGATCCAACCTCGGATACTGCACCCATGGTTTTTTTTTTTAAAACAATTTGACCCTTTTTGAAAAACACTATTTCTGTTTCAAAATTATATCTTCTAAAACATAAAAAAGGAAATGGTTTGGTTTGATGTATACAAATGCTTGACATGTCAAAAAGAGAAAGTAGATTGGGGCAGATGATAATGTATCCTCTTTTAACTGTTTCTTGAAGACGCTTATAATTTAAGGATGTTTGCTATTCTGTTTCAAAATAACAAGCTTTTTAAAAGATTGTTATAAATTGATAGTAAATAAATAAAGGAACTAAATAAGCAGAAAAAAATGAAGGGTCTGTGTGCTTGTTTTCGAGATATAAGCCATTTAAAATTTAGTGCGAAATAATTCTCTCTAGATTTTTCCTGCATTTAACATTGGCACCTTTTTTCTTTCAAAAACTATGAAAAAATAACAAGGATTTTATAAGATTTTCAAATATGGCTTTTGAAACTACATGTAATAAAATTATGAAAAGAAAAGTAGGGGTTAGCGGGCAAAATTTTTGAATGGTACTACATGGATAAAACCAGAGGATTCTGAATATCTGGCAAAAATTCAAAAACAAGAGGAGCAAACTTCCTTAAGTGAAATATTACCAGAATATATAATGAATTCATAAAATTTGGTTGCTGTATTTGATAAATTAATATATATATGCAATTTATCTAGTACGTAAGGCTTAAAGCTAGAATTTACATTTTTATCATCAGTAACTATCAGTAAACAACAGTGATTCATATGACAGTTGGCATGTATAGTGGTATTAAAGGTCTGAGGCATTGTTGCATTGAAAATATTAATTGAAATGTTCCCCTCCCCAAAAATGGTAAAAGATGACCTTCAGCAATGCCTAATTATTTTCTTTTGTTTGAAAGTTTATTTGTTTGGAGTAGTGTTGAAATGCCATATTTAAGGTTTTTTTTCTACAAATATTGCAAAATATAGCTGAAATATCAAATATCCCTAATAGTACACCATTTCCTAAGTATGTCTGATGTATTGTATGCTCTTAAATTGAGAAGTAGAAGGGTCAAAAGAATGAATTTTTGATCCATTGTGATTTTCTGAGATAATCTGGTAATGAAGCAAGGGAGACAACTCCCAAAAAAATTTATTGTAGTCAAGTTGGTAATTTTTTTTGTGAAATTTGAGAGTGAATGTATCTTGTTGAATTATACTAGTCTTCATGGCTGTGATAACAGAGAGTTAGTATTGTTCCTGAAGTCAGTAGAAATACTGCTTTTACAATCACACTGTATACAATTTTGTATTAAATTTAAAACTTTAACAGAATATATCAAATTTTATTACTAATATTATTTGGCATAGAGATGACATATTTTATCATACTGAAATGTCACCTATCATTAAATCTTAGGCACTTTTACTGTAGTTTTATATACTACATTTTTGACAGATTTATAGACGGGTTTAAAATACCCGATATTGTGATGGATTAGGGTTGTTTTAATATTTTCCTAAATTTGAAACCCATCCTTGTTTTTATGGTCTCATCTCCAGTTTCAAGAAACACAATCATCGGACTGTCAAACTGTCATCTCGTAATAAATCTAGCGCAGATGACTTATTGCATCCGTCTATGACAATTCATATTATTACTTTATGTCATAAAGTGCATCCAGGTTCACATGTTTTCGTGTGCTAAGGAATAAACAAAGATGATTACAGGTGAAAAACCATATGTGATATTTCTACCTGAAAATTGCTGTTGAAATTAAAATCGGATATTAAATCATTAAAGCATTTCTTCTGCTTCATTATTTTATCAAAATCTGTGGATGAATAAGAAAATAATAGTTTATTGGAAGTAATAAAACAACATAATATATCTAAATATTTTAAGCAAAATATGAGAAAGACACAAAGATAGGGTTGGTAAAATGTATATTTGTAAACAAGTTTTGTTCTCAGAAGAGATTCATTTCATGATCCATATATATATATATATATATATATATATATATAAAAAAAAAGAGATATGGTTTAAAAGCCAATGAGATAACTATCCGCCAGTCTAAATAATGTGGTTATGCAGCAAATAAGATATATGAATTAAAGCATATACAGCCATTTAAAGTGTAGAGGGAAGATTTGTTTCATTGCTTAAGTTTTGATTTGACAGTATATAGACTATTTAAAACTTTTTTTGTTTTTATAAAATAAACTGCTTGGATGTTAAAAAATGTGGTCATTTTCTTCCTTTTAGTTAGTATAGTCAGTTGAATAAACTGATATGTCTGAAATTGAATGTAGAATTCACTTGGTATGTAGCTTCTTTTGAATTTACTGGTGTATTTATTGATATGTCTCTCAGAGCTTTAAAGTTTAAACATTTTTTACCTTGTAAAATTAATTTCCATTTTCTCTGTTACAGCTATTGGTGATGAGAAATCGTCAGAAAAGGGAGATAATGATGATAACCAGGATGAAAGTGATGGTGACGAAGAATGTGACAAAGTAACTATGGAAACAGATTCACAGGATGTGGATGACGGAGAGATAATGAGTAATGGTCACAAGGAAGGGTCTGAAGTAGATGATGAAGAAGAGGGAGTTTCTAACATAGAAGATGGGGACTGTGACCAGGACAACATTATAGGCAAGGAAGAAATAAAACAAGAAGAAAAAACTGAAAATGTGGAGGAAAGTGAAAAAATATCAGACACTAAACACAGCATGGATAAGCAAGAATGTAGCAAAGAATCTAGTCGTTCAGAAACACCTCCATTAAAAAGACTGATGAGGCAGGACCCTTTGCCTCTATTCATGAACAATCATCATCATTCACCACCTAAAAAGATGTTTAAAGAGGAACACATTCACTCTTCAAAGTGGCAGGTGCCTCTCATTCCAACTTCAGCCTTTCTGTCGAATGTTAAAAATGCTCCCATGCATCCACGGCAACACATGTTGAAATCAAAGCCTTATTCAAACAGACTCTTCCTTTCGCCTTCAGCTGTTTCATCATTTCACTCAATGGGTTATCAAACCAATTTAAAAGCATATGACACTGACCAACCTTTAGACTTGTCGAAGAAAACTGGTAGTGGAAAATCCTCGTCTTCATCTGCATCATACTCACCAGGTTCCAGTAAGCTTACGTCAAGTCATACAGCTGATAATATTCATTTGAAATCTCGTCACAAGTACAGCAATGGAATGTTCCCAGATTCTGTAAAATCTAGTCTACAAAGTTTGCAACAAAAGTTTGGTGGTGACTATCACACAAGACAATTACAAAAACCTGTGAAAGGGTTACACCCCTTGTCATATGAAATGTTTAACAAAACTTTTTGTGGAGATAATGTTTTGCTGAATTCCATATCCTCCTTACCAAAAAAGAAAAGCCCTATTCCGCCATTTACCGAAACATCTGAGAAATCCTTGAGCGAAAAATCAGAAATGTCACTAAATAATCACAAAGACTTGAATTCTAACTTCAAAAAGCAGAATTCATGCACCGATAATGAAGAAGACAAATACACAAGGCATAAATGTGTTTGTACTAAGACATTTACTTCATTGTATGATTTAAGTTTACATATTCAAGAAACTGGACACCTCCCTGCTGGTGTAAAAAAGGCAAACTTAATGGAATATCCCAAACTTGTCCGCGGTCAAGATATGTGGTTGAACACAGAGTCGGAACAAACCAAACGAATTCTACGCTGTATGCAGTGTGGAGAATCATTTAAATCATTGCCTATGTTGACAGTTCACATGATGCAGACTCAGCATTATACAAAAATTGTAAGTTCTGAACATGGACGACGTACACACAAGTGTTCTGCTTATTGTGATCGTGATGTTGACCGTGAATGTGTGTTCAAATGTAAGGTATGCAATAGTATGTTTGTGGACATGGAAGGACTAGCTAATCACATGATATTATCTGGACATCATAAACGAAACATACTCCGAACTCAAAATCACACAGACTTGGGTTTAAAACAAAACAATCGTCAATATTTACCGGTAAACGATGAAAGCACAAATCACGACGCTCGCAAAAAATCTCTCTCTAGGACATCACCACCTCAGGACAGGTTATCGGCAAGTAGTCCTGAGAGTGATTTAATGGATGATAGCATGATCAGCTGTGAAAATTGTGGTGATAAGATAGAAACAAGTTATTTTGTAGAACACGTACGAGCTTGTCTTCATCAAAGTATGGTCGATGCCTTTGAATCAAGAATTCAAAAGTTAAAATCAAAAGTTGACAATCTACAGTCAAAAAATGTAAAAGAAGAAAATAAAAACTTTGAAATTGACCCGAACGAAAATAGTTATGGTAAAGATTCTGAGAGTTTAAAGGATGTAAATTCTAGAAATGTGAAATTTGAAAGTTCAGGAAAGAAAGACTTGAAACATGAAGTAAACAGTGATATAAAACTAGAACCAGTCAATCAAGATTCTGTAACTGATACTCCGGAAAAGAAAAACAATATCAAAACTGAACCCGTAGAACTAATTGAAAACCAAAAATCCTCAGAAAAAAAACAAAATGATAAATCCGAAGACAGAAATCCACTAAAAGCTGATAGTGCTAAAATGTTAGATATTTTAAATCCAGAGGATGAAGGAACAGAAGAGGGGGGTAACTCTGCCCTCCAAGCCATGGAATCATTCATTCAAAAAAGTTTCAGTTCAAAATTTACCTATGGCAAAAACAAGTTTCAGGTAAATATGTTTGACAAGCAGGAATCTCTTAGTCCTTTGTTGAAGTTCGAAAAATATAGGAAATATTTCCAGCCATCTTTAATGATGGAAAATACATCAAAGAAGCCAGAAGAATCGGAGATGAATGATAGTGAAGCCGATGATTCTACAAAAGATGAATTAGAAAAACTTGAAAAGTTATGTGAAAATGTCAACAAAAGGCAGACGAGTCCTAAACAAAGTACAAAATTAGAAACTGCTGAGCTTAAAGAAACAAAAGTTACAAGTGAATCATTGAGTAGTAAATATTTAAATATTGACGAAGAGGAACAAAATACAGAAAAGTCTTCAGCGCTGGATTCACTGAGTAGCTTTGTCTATGGTCAAGCATTAGACAGTGAACACCCTCTTGATAAATTACAGAAGCTCATAACAAAAACTGACATTCCTGGAATGAGTTCTTCAAGTCGGACTATTTTGAATGGATCACCTGAAGTCTCCATTCCTCTCAATTTGTCTGTAAAAAGAGAAATTGACGAGGATGACCTTGTGGAAGATGTGATATCTGATGGTAGTCATAGCGACAGTGGTAGTGATTCGGCCGTGGAGTACCACTGTGTAGCTTGCAGCAGACATTTTGCTTCAAAAGGAACATACCGTTATCATCTGAGTCGATGTCATTTATCCACCATTAAGAAATATGGTATCAAAGAGGCCTTTAACATGAGTCCTTATGTATATCTTCCTTTAGACCATACTGCCAAGTTTTCTAAGTATTTTAAAATGGCAGAAGAGTTAGTCAAAAAAGAAAAATTGTAACATATATATTTTTATTTTGCTATGTGCAATTTCTAAACGATAACTGTACTAATTTCAATATATTATTTTTCTAGAAATCTGATTTTTTTTTTTAGCTATGTTGTGATGTTGTTAATGTTTGTCTGAAGACACGTTTGTTGCCAGGCAATTAGTTATGTTTTATTGGGCAATTCTTTACAAATTTTAACATAGACATTTGAACACAAACTTTTTTGAAATATTGGTTATTTCCAATTTTGAGAAGCTGTCAAGAAAAATGGTTATTTTTGAAATCTCAAGAAGAGATTTTATATGAATTTATAGGGTTAAATATACTTACCACAATCCAGCACCACCCCTAGTATAAATTTAGTATAAATATGACGTAGGTGAGTACATCTTATGGATGTAATTTTTAATCACCTAGTTAATTTCGATGAGAACATGTTCTGAAAGCAAACATATTCTATATAATATAAATGTAATTTCATGGTAAGTATATTTAATCAAATTCATATAAAATTTTGATTGGTAACATATTTTTAGATTTATTTTGGTTCAGTTTTTATGAAACTTTTTTTTATTTCCAAATTCAGTCTGTAACATATGATAGATTTGATGTAACTTTTCTGGTTTGATTTTAGAACAAGTCCTAAAATTTGAACTTTTCAATTAACCTTCTATTATTTCAATTTTCAAATTAGTTCTTGTCTTTTAACTTGTGATTAAAATCCCCCTTGTTATGCCACATCTTAGATACTAAAGGGGATTTTTCGGGTTCATGCATCTTTCCCATATCAAGTTATTAAAGTTGTTCACCTTGAAATAGTGGTCGCATCAACTTGAAACTTAGTACACATGTGCATTATGATGCAAGCTTTATATGTATGCCAAATTAGAGGTTTGACCCAGATTCCATGGTTCACAGAACACGAAAATTTTATTGTAGGAACAGGGTATGGTGTCCTATAGAAATGTATTATTGTTTAGCTTAACTTCTTATTTGTGTGGTTCAAGAAAAATTGCTATTTCGAGAGTACCTAGTTTTACAGTTGCTACTTTTAAAGTCTTTGTAATTTATTTATTTATTGTTTTCCTTACCAATGAAATTACAAAAATTGGTATCCAATGATTATTATTTAATCCAGAGTACATTATTTCATGGTTCTATTTAAAGAGTATTTTTCAAAGAAAGTGTCAAGTTTTTTGCTTTTACTAGTTTGAAAAAAAAAAACCAAGTCTATGGATTTACAAGTAAGATGAAGAAAACATTACAGATAAATGTTTATTTCATGGAAATTAGTACAGTTATGGTAGAACAAAGTGTAATCTATGGCAGCCGAGACAAGAATTTTGTTGTATTATAGTTAGTATTGAATTAATATTAATTTGTGAGGGAGATAAGGGACCTGAATTAATATTGATTTGTGAGGGCGATAAGGGACCAAAGAATAAATTTCTTCTGATGGTCAGAAAAATTTACGATGTAACAAATCATGTCATAAATGTTCGGTGACAGTGATAAATTTACCACGTTATTTAAACGATTTTTCATTTTCAAATATTTGAACAATTGAAAAACAGGAAATTTGAAAAGTTTAATAAAAATTTCGGTAAACAAACAGGTATTAAATTTTACTATTGTATTTGTAAGTCACATTATATCGAGGTGTATAAATTAAATGGATATTATATATTAGATGAAATAATAATGATTGATGAAAGCAGCTGTTCATAAACAAAAAATTTTTGTTCAGAGATTGACTTTATATAGAAAATGGGGCAGACATTTTTTTTATACACTCCATATTAAAAATTGTCATATTAAAGACCGCTCTGCATTATTTAAAGCAGTCATCTGTTTTTTAGATTATTTCAATTGCTATTTAAAAAAACTGATATATAGATGTATATAGCAGTTGAAATCAAAATTGCTCAAGCATTTTCCCTGCAGTAGCTTTAATTTCAACTGTAGTAATTGAAATTGAACTGACTGTTTGCACGAATTTTTTTTAAATAGTGTGGATTGACCTTCAGGGTTAAAATTTGTATTCTTTAAGTTTGTTGCACAACTTTATTATTGTATTTAAAACAATTATTTGTTTCCACTAGTTTTATATTAAAAATGAGAAATTGTTAAACAATTAATATTGTCCACTCAGTTAAATTATTTTAGAGTACCAATGATTTCCATGTTCTGTGCCATAAATCTTTTAAAAAAAATATTGAAAGAAATCCAAAATATCAATAAAGAAATGAAATTATATTTCATACAGATAGAGGATATTAATGTTTTCTTTGAATTTTATCTAATTGAATATTTGTACATTTTATCATTCCACACTATAGGGACTTGGTCCTTTAGAATCATTTTATTTCAGTTATTTATTTAATTAAAAAAAGTCGAAAGAAATAGGTTGTGTTTATTATATACATATCAAATGAACTGTTAGTACTAAGTGCTTTATTATATTGATTTCAGATCAAATCTGTCTAAATTGTTGTTATTTATTTCACTTGCTTTATATGGCTACTATGTTGTAGAGTGTTATTTTTTCTACTATATGTATTTGCTATTTTCATCAGTTTTTTAATCATACATATTTATGCATTTTTTTAAAAAGTACCTGAAATGTTTGTTTAATGAACAGATTGAAACCATTTTAACTTATAACAGTATATTAATACAATTTTTAGCTGTTGATAGTGGTAAAATTTTACCTTTCTGGTTAAAAAAAAATTGTTCTGTTGCCTTGTAGGGCAGTTTTGCCTTGTATACAAAGCATGCGCCCAAATGGGCATCTTTTGGTGGAAAAGATATAAAATCACTCCAACAGATTAATTTATCATTGTCTGGAGCATGGGAGGTAACTTACATTGTAAAACTTACTGCCCAAGCAGTGGTTTGATGATTTTATTCACAAAAAAAAGATCAGGAATCTTTTCTCCTATTTTTTTTTTTGGAGGGGGGGGGGGGGAGGGGGGAGTGTCATTTTGACTGAATTTATTCTGCACAATAAGTTTTTTGTTTATATTTGCCATTTGGGAACAATAGATAGATTGATTGATTATTGTTAGTATACTGTCTAGTGGCAAATATTTCATGCACCATCAGGATGAGGGAATGAGGAATACGAGAGATAAACAGCAATTTTATTGATTTTTTTATGTTGAACAAAAATTAATTTTTGATTATACAGATTTTTTTTTATCAGGATATAACAAAACTACAACAAATAATTTCATTTTATTAAAATTGTTGTTGATCCACCAAATTTATCATGGTCAAAGCTTTGAAGCTAATTTTCCATGACTTTAAAAAGTTTCATGAATTAATGAGGAGTTTATGGTTCCAATGCAAATTTAGATAAGTTAATTGCGACCTAAATACACAACTAATTTTTGCCTTTATAACTTCATCATTTTGTGTTTGAGAGTCCAATGTGAGCTAACACTTGCATGTTTTGTTATTTTTCACACAGTAATTAAGTAGGCTGTCACATACAGACTTGTCAAATATAAAGCCCTAATTTGTCAGAATCCACTTCTTTTATCTAAAAGTGTTGTTGATGTAGAAACAATTAATTAACTTGTTTAAGGAAAAGCTTGTTAAATGTAATTTTCATGATTATGTAATTTGATACTGTCACAAATCCTCAAGAATATTACGGTGTTGTAATTATTTTAAATATGACCTTGAAGTCAGTATAAATGTATAGGCCTAATAGGTATTATATTAAAAATTCCCCTTTTTGTCTAAAATGTTCAAAATTTGCTATATGCATAATGATAAGGGAATTTTAATGCCATACATGAATTATCTAATAACCAATCCTCATTATTATAATTAATATTTTCCCACTCTTTTTAATAAAAAAAAGTTTCAGAGGTATTTTTTTGCCGCCATCATAAGAAGAAAAAATAGAGCCAAATTTTTTGTTTTTCCTTGTTTTGTTTTTCTTAATTTGGCTTTATGGTATTTATCTGTTTCCTGCTGTCTATATAATCTTTGATGGTGTTAGGACATATCAATCATGGCAGATTAACAATATTGATAAAGATTTCATATCTCATGTGCGTCAGCTGTGGTATATACCATTTACAAAGAAAAATCGGATTTAAACTAATTAAATCTGATTTGAATTCCACTATTTTGAGGATTTGTCAAATTGTCAGCCAATGATGTTTTATATACAAAGAAATTGTCTAGATGTGTTGTGTTTCTTTGTCATACATCAAAAAGATCTTTGTCCTATTGAACAGATAAACCTTTTTAATGAGAGAATATAGATAATCTGTAGGAGAGATCATTATCCCATGTGGTGCGATATTTTTCTAAATGAATAAATCCTGGCTTTCAAATCCTTTCTCCCAAGTAGAAAATTGCATGCAAAAAAATAGTTTCCTGAAGAAGATAAAAACTAAATGAAAATTGAATCTTGTATAAGAGACTATTACATGTAATTTAGAAGATTGATTTGTAAGATTATTTGCTTTAACTAATCTTTTAACACATATCAATGCTGGGAAAGACATTTTTAGGTCATCTGTCAGTTAATACTATATCAGTTCGGTTAATGCCTTCAGACGTGGATTGTCATTGGGTACGTAGATATGAGGACCCAAAATATTATTAAGTCATCTTTCTTAGGTGTAGTTACTAGGTATTGTCGAAACTGTCAAACTCTAACTAGGTTGTATGTTCAGTGATCAATTAACTATCTATGTAATATGTATTAGGTACTAGAACTGGGACCTATATTTTTCATCTTATTTAAGCTTAACGTCGGTCTCTATTTATAAGAAGACCAGGTCCCATCTCATTTAAACTTAAGATGGGACTCTATTTATTTGAGGACCATGTCCCATCCCCATCTCAATAAAACTTAACATTGGACTCAATTTATAAGAAGACCTTTGGTTGTGGGCTAGGCAGTTAATGGACATCTACCTGTACAGATCATTTCAAGTCTACTGCCACTACCATACCAAAATATGTCACGGCACACTCAATCAAATAGCATGTCATTTCTGTAAAATAATTAATATTTTTGCAAACTAGTCATTTTGGTGACTTGATAAATAATATGAATATGTCTAACTTGATATTCCCTTGTATAAAAACATCATGAAAGTCAGAACATGAAATCGACTTCAAAAAGAAAAAAGGCTGGAAAATATTTGCAAAACCTATTTGACTTGCAGTATTAGATGAGCAAAGGGAGATAACTTCAAACAAGATAAACAATGCTTTAGAGATGGACTAAGGGATAAAAACTTTCAATCAGGGAATTATGTCATCCTTTTGTTTCTATTCATTTGAAAACAACCTTGTATTACAATTGTATATACAAAAAGTCAAATATTCAGAAAACTCTGCATGCAGGAACTGTCACAAGTGTTATTTTAAGGATTTTCTGGGGAAATGAGGAATTTAAAAATAGTTTGTGACAATAAAGTGCTGTGTCATTGAATCAATTGAATTTGAATATTATATATTTGGGGAAATCTAGTGCACACAAGTAATATTTAAATAGATTTTGTGTCAACACATGCAATGTTGGGATATAGAATCCTGATATATTGATAATATTACATAATTTATGAAAAAGATATGCTAATGCAGTTGTCAACATCTGGTATTTACATATGATATTTACTGATATTGATGAAGAGAAAATAAATTATTAGAAAATTATGTAAAAAAAATACAATATTTTTTTTATCTGATAGCAAATGACACATTTCATTATTAACTGTTTTTTTTTAACTGAAAAGTACTTAAAAGAATTTAATTAAATTTTGTCATTCTGCATTGTCTACAGATTTCATACAAATGGAAACATAATGTCCTTTGAGGGGTCTGTAAAGGGAACTCTTGTTAACTCATATTATTAATTTGTCTATGAAATTATCAATTAAAATAAAAATAATTCTAAACTGGCTTTACACGACTAAATCTTTATCCATATATTCATTAGATTGATTGATTGCTGGTTGTCTGCTTTATGTGCAGTGGCAACCATTTGACCAAAGAATACATCTCTAATTATCGATTTTTTTAATGCTCATATCATAATAAATACCTATCCTTGATTTCCTATGAAAAATCAACATAACTATAAATTAGCCCTCATCCTATCCTCCTGGTGTTGATTTTTTAAAATCCAGATAAACGCCCACTCCAAATCTATTTTTTCGTAAAGAGCATTGCCCTAAGGGCTTGTATCATTATGCATACTGTAAGAATCTTAAACTGTTAAACTAAATATTTTGTAGGTAAAAATGCAGATATGTATTTATTTAAATTGAATGAAATTTAGGTACATAAGAAATTGTTTTATATGTTGAAAATGGCAAATATTTATTACATTATCTAGTTATTGTGGCATAGTCAGAATTTTGCATTTATACATGTATATTTGAGTTTGCTTTAAATGAATGAAATCCCTTTTGACTTCTACAATTATGTACATATTTTTGTGAAAACAATTACATTTTACATATCATTTATCCACTTTATATTCAGAAACTATGTGTTAACTGTACTTTTGAATATGTTAACACTTGAGTGCTTTATTTCATAGTACATGTGTATTCAAAAGTATACAAGTTTGAAAATGTTTCTGAAAATTTCATTTTTCATTTTCTGATCAGACTGGAATGATTTTTTAATGCACACAGATGCATGATTTGTGATTGTTGTCATCAATACCAATTTAAAAAAAAAAATTGGGGGAAATGATATTTTAAGTTGTTTTCTCTATGCTTATCTCTTTGTAGAAGTTTAAGCTACTCTTTAAAAGTTGGATGGAAAAATTCTTGTTCTTTTTTTTTTCTCTGTCAGTTATCATAACTAATTTTACACTTGTTGTCAAAAAGCATATTCAAATCCTTAGTGATAAGATTATCTTCTATCTGCAAGCTTGTTGTAATGACATTTTTATCTGCAAGGAAATTTATGTATGTGCATAATATATTAAATGAAACAATGTTTTCATAATTGATGATTATTCTTAGATCTTTCCAGTCTGATGTGCTCTCTTTTGACTTTATATATTTGTATTTACATGTTTTGATAAATCCATATCCTATCAACAATATTGTTAAAATAAAAAGCTGAAGAAAACTAGAATTTTTCGTTCATTGAAAGGACATTCCATACACCAATTATGGTTAACTTATTGCTTACAGTATCTGAGAAACCATGAAAACTTAATATTGACCAATGAACCATGAAAATTAGGTCAAGGTCAGATGAACCCTACCAGATAGACATGAACAATCATTCCATACACCAAATTTAGTGACCCTATTGCTTATAGTACTGTATCTGAGAAATCCAAACCACAAAAACTTAACATTGTCCAATGAACCATGAAAAAAACTCAGGGTCATATGAAACCTGCCAGACAGACATGTACCCCTTACAATCATTCCATACACCAAATATAGCTGATCCGTTGCTTAAGTTTCTGAGAAACATGTTAAACCACAAAAACCTGCCAGCCAGACTCTTGTTATTAAGTTCATATTTAAGTATTTGCTGCCTATGTAAATTGTGCATTATTTAGAAGTTATAAAAATAAAAGCAGGTTGGTTGGCTCAAAGTAAGAGTAATGTGTCTTGTTCAGGTAAATCAAAATGTCATTCTATGGACTGGTACATTGAAAATATGGTTGGGCAGATCAGTCAAGTACAATATAAGAATAAGGAGATGCAATGCCAATGAGACAACTATCCATCAAAGAAAAAATGATGTAAACAACTATAGGTCATCATACAGGCTTCATCACATTTAGCAAAAAACACACTTTATGGTTAAAGTATAAAAGGTCAAGGATAGCAAAATGTGAAATAAATCAAAAGAAGACAAAAGTGCACATGCTGATTTGTCTTATCTGCTCTACTTATCATAATTGAATTTATGTTGAAAGTCTGATATACGGAGGTTTTACTACAAGTTGTTAGACGAACCCTGCAAGACAGACATGTACACCTTACAATCAAACAATACACTAATTATAGTTAGCATATTGCTTATAGTACCTGAGAAACAGACTTAATTATAACAAGAGTGCACTAGCTGAAATGTTACTGACCATTGATATTTTGTGTTGATAGTCCTAAATATAAAGTTTTTCTAAAAGTATCACATAAACTTAACATGATCCAAGAAAATTAGTTCAAGGTCAGATAAACCAAACCGGAAATACATGTACACCTTACAATCATTCAATACACCAAATATAGTTGACCTATTGCTAATAGTTTCTAAGAAACAGACTTAAACAGGAAAATTAAACATTGACCAATGAACCATGAAAATAAGGTCAAGGTCAGATGAACCATGCCAGACAGACATGTACACCTTACAATCAATCTATGCATTAAATATAGTTGACCTATTGCTTATAGTATCTAAGAAACAAACTTAACCATGAAACTTAACATTGACCAATGAACCATGAAAACGAGGCCAAGGTCAGATGATACCTGCCAGACAGACATATACACCTTACAGTCATTCCATACAACAAATATAGTTGACCTATTGGTTATATTTTAAGAAAAACAGACCAAAACACAAAAACTTAACACAGCAATGAACTGTGAAAATGAGGTCAAGGTCAAATAAACCATGTCAGACTGACATGTACATTGTAAAATATTTCCATACACCAAATATAGTTGACCTTTTGCATATAGTATTAGAAAAAAAGACAAAAACAAAAACTTAACTTTAACCACTGAACCATGAAAATTAGGTCAAGGTCAGATGACACTTGCCAGTTGGACATGTAAACCTTATAATCATTCCATACACCAAATATAGAAGACCTATTGCTTATAGTATCTGATATATGGACTTGACCACAAAAACTTAACCTTGTTCACTGATCCATGAAATGAGGTCGGGGTCAGATGAAGACTGTCTGAAGGGCATGAGGACCTTGCAAGGTACGCACATATTAAATATAGTTATCCTATTACTCATAATAAGAGAAAAATTAACATTACAAAAAATCTTAACTTTTTTTTCAAGTAGTCACTGAACCATGAAAATGAGGTCAAGGACAATGGACATATGACAGACGGAAACTTCATAACATAAGGCATCTATATACAATGTATGAAGCATCCAGGTCTTCCACCTTGGAAAATATAAAGCTTTTAAGAAGTTAGCTAATGCCGCTGCCGCCAGATCACTATCCCTATGTTGAACTTTCTGCGACAAAAGTCGCAGGCTCAACAAAAACTGAAAATTGATCAGTGAACCAGAAAAATGAGGTCAAGGTCAGATGAACCCTGCCAGACACTGGGTACACCATACAGTCATTCCAAACACCAAATATGGTTGACCTATTGCTAACAGTATCTGAGAAACAAACATAACCATGAAAACATAATATTGACCAATGAACCATGAAAATGAGATTAAGGTCAGATGAAACCTGCCAGACAGACATGAACACCATACAGTTGGTCTGTTGCTTAAGTATCTGAGAACAACATAAATTCAATTATGATAAGTAGAGCAGATAGACCAAACTACAAATACTTAATATTAACCTATGAACCATGAAAATTAGGTCAAGATCAGAGGAAACCTGCCAGTCAAACATGTACACCTTACTATCATTCCATACACCAAATATAGTTACCTATTGCTCTAAGTATCTGACATACAGACTTGATTGTTGAAGGCCGTACAGTGACCTATAGTTGTTAATTTCTGTGTCATTTGGTCTCTTGTGGAGAGTTGTCTCATTGGCAATCATACCACATCTTCTTTTTTATATTGATCATGAAAACTTAACTGATCCATGAAATGAGGTCAAGGTCAGGTGAACCCTGTCCCATGAACATGTAGACCTTGCAAAGATCCCATATACCAAATAAAGAAATAAAGTAAATAGTATTTCACATGTCAAAAATACTACCTTTATCTTCAAGCAGTCCATGGACCAAGAAAATGAGGTTAAGGACAATGGACATATGACAAACAGTAACTTTGTAACAGGCATCTGCATACAAGAGGTCCTTCTGAAAGATTTATACTAATAGTTTACATGGTCGCCACTGGCAGAAAGTAATATCTATGCCTCGTATTCTGCGCCTATCATCGCAAGTGAGACAATAACCAATGGCTTGATTTAAGGCAGGGATCATACTCAAATCATAAATAAACTGTTAACACAGAGAAATATCTTGACTGTCGTCAGATAATTCAGAAAAAGACGATCTGATGAACAGCAACATTGCTACATATCATTAATTCAAAGTTGCTGGACCATGAACTAGGGGCAGGACCTCGAAATGGTCGACAAACTGAGATGTACTGATGCAACTTTATAGAAAATATCATTGTCTATCATAAGTAGTTCCTATCAAACTGACTTGGGGAGAAAATTTCACATTGAAAATTGCTAATTATTTCAAAGATCATGACCTAGGGGGCAGGGCTGGAAATAGTGTCAAGGCCAGTGTGAGCTATTCTCAATACTCAGCATTTGTCATCATTTAACTTTTACAAAAATCTTCTTTGAAACAACTAAACCAATTGGAACCAAACTTGACCACAATTATCCTTGTGTATCTAGCTTAAACAATTGTGCATGTTGATCCTGACAGCCAACAAGAATGGGCACCATGGCTAAAAAAACATAGGAGTAACACGAAAGAACTGTCTGTTATCTTAAAAGCCATTATATATAAAGAAAATCTGACAAGAGAAGATTTTTAAAAAAGTTTACAAGATAACTACAGTGCCAAGTGATTGCATAAGCTTGCATTGCCTTTAAGGACAGGTGAGCAAAAAGATGAAGTAAAAAAGTTCACAAAACACTACACATAAAACAAAAGATTGAGTAGTACAAACCCTACCAGAAATCAAGGGCATTCAGCTTCTCTGGAAGTGTTAGCAGTTACTATTCTTCAAGTATGTATGGACACATTCTGAATGTGCCTGTTTCTAGTCGGGAGCATGCAATTCAGGAGTTGTCATTGGTTGACGTCTGTTATATCTGTTTTTCGTTTATTATTTTGTTAGATTTTTCGTTTGAATTGTTTCACATTTTGTCATGTTGGGACCATTTAAAGCTGACTCTGAGGTATGGGTTTTTCTCTTTGTTGAAGCTATATGGTGCTCTTTAATTGCTTAAATCCACATCATTTGGACTATGTTGGATATTTATCTCATTGTCAATAATACCATGCCTCCTTATTTTATGTACATAGCCCAAAAAACTGGAATAGACTAAGACTATACGGTATGGGTTTTTCTCATTGTTGAAGGCCGTACGGTTGCCTATAATTGCTTACATCCACTTTATTTGAACTTTGGTGGATAGTTGTCTCATTGGCAATCATACCTCATCTCCTTATTTTTATAATAGCAATCAATAAGTTTAAGTAAAAAACCACAATCCAAAGAATGATTTTTTATTACAATTCAAATTGCTTGTTCAATATTAAACAAGTTCTACTAACACAACAAAATCAAATAAATGTATACACGTCCAAGTCACTAAAAATGTCATGGAACATATAACACTTTAAAAATAATTTCATTTTTCAACAAGTAACCACCAAAAAAAATGACCATATATCCAAGACATAATTTCACAGAAGACTAAAAACATTTTATCACAGATTTCACATGCAAATGGTTTTGGTAAAGACTTTTATATTAAAATTGGTTGCACCAGGGTAAGATGTTTAAATCTTCAAACAGAATTCAGGTGTTCAAAAAAAGTTGAAGAATTTTTCATGTTATTCACGATCATTGAGCATTAGTTTAGGAAAATTTTAATTTTCAATGAATTCAACTATTGGCAGTGTAGACTCTTTATTTGGCATGATAGTAGTAGATGTGCTGATGGCTAGTCTAGCCTAGAAATAGTTCAACAGATCCATGTACTTCTTTAATTTTGGCATAGAAAGAACCTTTCTGCTACATTTGGTTTCAACTGGTCAATCAGTTCTTACGAGAGAGATGTACTATAAATTAGTAAAAGACTCAACGAAAACTAAATGATGGAGAATTATATATAACATATATATTCAAATGAATTATAATATCTTCTTGACAACTGCTCTACCAAGTATTAGTTGTCTCACTGGCACTTAAATTACAACACTCCAAAAGTTGCATTCAATTCTATCCTATTATCCTGACTTAGCAATTCTTAAGATTTTTTTAAGTTTCAGCTAATTAGAAAAGTCATAGCAATCACACATGTTATGATGGTATCCGACAAGTAACAGGAGTTCATTCAACCGTAACATTGTCTTCTTAGAGGCTCAAAGTGTTTATGATGAACAGACAATGGTTACCAAGTAATCATAAAACATCACACAGCCTTTCCTATTCAAAACATTGTTATTATGAAATACTAGCAGACATGTTGACTTCACAAATATTAAAAAATAATCTCTTCAGTGATGATGGTAATGAGATTCAGTATTAATACCTTTGTTGGTTTAATTCTAAATATGACTAGATTTATCAAATCTATATATAGCACATTCTTTCTTTGTAATAAGTGTAAATATCAATATTCTTACAATTTCAGGAATAAATACATTTTGTTCAGTAAATTTCCTGACATTTATTGAAAATCAAACAAGTAAATCAAACAAATAATTTTATTTGCTCAGCACTACAATTAGAAAATACTATTGATACTTTTGGTGTATGTCAATTTTCTTTCATCTCAGAAAATCCAATTGATGGCAACATCGACTGTCGTACCATAGGGAAGATTCAGTACATAAAACTTGGATCTATTACACAACTTTTCCAAAGGAATATACCAATGATCCCACAACTTTCCAGAGGAATATGCCAATGATCCCACAACTTTCCAGAGGAATATGCCAATGATCCCACATCTTTCCTGAGGAATATGACAATGATCCCACAACTTTACAGAGGAATATGCCAATGATCCCACAACTCTCCAGAGGAATATGCCAATGATCCCACAACTTTCCAGAGGAATATGACAATGATCCCACAACTTTCCAGAGGAATATGCCAATGATCCCACAACTTACCAGAGGAATATGCTAATGATCCCACAACTTTCAAGAGAAAAATGCCTGTGTCAAGTCAGGTTATATGATATGTCAAGGGATTTTCCTATTTTCACCTGTTTTTTAGGATTTATGATTTCTGATATTACCAAAGAGTTTGTACATATGTTATTTTCCATTCTTAAATTACTGCTATTCTAAACAAATAGTTTTCATAAATTAAAGAAACAAAGATATTTCCTTTCATTTTGGCAGTGTGTGAAGTCAGTGTGAAGTCAGTGTTAAGTTATCACATTATCACATTTAAAACTTAAACATAAAAAATAATTTGCATTCACAGATCATCATATAAAATTCACATATATAATTTGTTTACATCAAGTTTAAAATAGTTCAGTTTTAAATTTTAAATATAAGTCATACCGGTACACATAATGAGCACTTTTGCTGACTCGTATCACATACATCAGGCCCGCCATTTCTTCCTAACCAATTCCGTCCTCGTGAGTATTCTACAACTCCCTCTTTCTGTAATAATACTAACGATTGAACACATTCAAATATTAGCCTTTTATCCAATGAGTACCTGTGTTGGCTCATATCACATTCATCAAATCGGCCATTTCATCATAACTGATTCCGTCCTCATGAATACTACCACCCTCCCCTTCTGTTTTAATATTCACATTAGCACCAGCAGGAGGTACATATGATTTGGGAATGTTCATAGAATGTACCATGTCCATATGATGAGCACGTTTTATGTGAGTTTTTAGATTTCCTTTCTGAGTAAATGCTAGTTCACAATATGAACACCTGTGTGGTTTTTCACCGCTATGTTTCTTCATGTGGATCTGTAGAGCATTTTTCTGGTTGAATGATTTCGAACAAATTTCACATACAAATGGTCTCTCACCTACAAGATATGATATTATCTAATAAGTATGTTATGCTTGGGTCTACTTTAGAATAATTCCCCAGTAACCCTTTACAAAAACACAATACATGCTATTGCAGATTGAATACATTCAATTTCAGATTATTTTATACCTCTAGAATCTTTTTATTCAATTTTTCTGATGCAAAATAATAAGTGTGAACCAAGATGGTAATCTCTATTTACTGAATGTAGTTTTCAATGTACATGGCTTCAAATTTTGGAATTTGTAGAAATATGGCCGGTGTGAGGTATATTGAAATTATGGTTACTAGATATATCAATTGTCTGCGATTGATTGAATTATAGTTTTTAGAAATGTCATTGTCTTATGGGTTTATGGATTCATGATTTTCTTAATATCTTTAGTCTGTAGGTCTTTTGTTAAATTCAGGCTTCTAACTATTCACAAATAAATCTTTTTAAAAAAAAATTTCTTAGGGTTTTGAAATTTGTGCGTTTAGTAACAGCACTCCTTGAACTACATATAAAGCAACTTTATTTCAACTGAATCGAACTTCCTATATATTCTACAAAATAAGTCTTTACTAAATATTATTACTTTACTTAATCTTATATTTTGAAATATCACATGATATTGATTGATTGATACTAGCTTAATGGCCTAGTGGCAAATATTTCATGCATATTCAGGAAAAGTATCACATAAAATAAAAATGTTGACACAGAGATATGTCTTGCCTGTTTATCCCAAGGTTAATGATTATGGCTTATGAGGTCAAACATTCTCTATAAGCTGGACTGAGAAAAACCCATATCATTCCAGTAGTGTGAAATGGAAAATTATACAGAAAGATCAAAGTAAAATTTGTGATTAAGTTTCATTCGGTAATTCATCAGCCAGTGTTTCCAATTAAAAATAAATGGGGAATGTGTCCATGGGATACAGATGATGCCCCTGCTTGCATGTAATGTTATAAAAGGACATTACTCTAGAATAGTAAAAGTGACGCTACCCAAATTCAAACTTGATCTGTGTTTTGTGGTAATAAGCATCGTGTATAAGTTTCATAACATTTGGTTGAGGCAAGGTAAGGTTAGAGAACATAAACCAATTTCGGGATGTGCGTTTATACAGACAAGGGTAAAACTTAATGCCCCACCACTACTGCGGGGGCAAAAAATATCAACAGCCCTCAACACTATATAATGTGAAACATTATATCACCGTATGTGTTACAACAGACTGATGGTCAATGGTATAACATGATATCATAAAGCCATCTTAGATGGTCATTTAAAAATGGAACAGAAAATACAGTAGTTAAGCATAGAAACACCAAAACTGTTAGTATAAATACAAATTGTGTCTAATTCAACTGATTTTTTTTAACAATAACATATGTTCAAACTAAACATATTAAAAGAACATTAAATCTGCAAATGAAATACTTTTGGTAATACACATGCAGTCCACAATAGGTATGAATGACTCGAGTATTCTTGGTCTTGGGTCTGAAAAAAGTTTACTTAGTTAAAGGACCATCTGTCTACAGAGATCATATTTCCATGGTAGTAGGGGTATCAGAGCCCTAAAAAACTATTTCACACTTTTACCTTTGCATTTCTAAAACAATCCGGGAAAAAATCCTCTACGAATAACTAAAGAGCTTAAAAAAGTTATGGTAAAGTTGAAAGCCATGAAAAATACTTCAAATTATTTTTTTGCAATTACTACTTTACAAGGCCCCTCATCAGATCTTCTTTGAAGCACAAAAAACCTTTATCACTGGAAAAGGCAGAGCATTTAATATAGTAAAGTTAGCAGCTTTTATACTAATAATTATATACCTGTATGTATACGTATATGTCTCTCTAATTGACTAGGTTTCTGGAAAGCTTTATTACAATGTTGACATTTGTGGTTGCCTGGCGATTTAAATCTAGGTTTACTGTCCGGTTGATGTATCATCAGATGTTCTTTCAAATGGCCAGATCTCTTGAAAGACTTATCACAAATCTTAAAACATAAAAAAACATAAGATATATGCTTCATTGAATCTCAGAAATCTGATTTTTGAGATTGTAATATGACCAGAAAAAGAAATATACAACAAAGTCCATCACAGCATATGTCTGCCTGAGAACTGTCTAACAGCTTGGGTAGGAATTTTTTCAATTTATAAATTTTGATTTTTTTCCATTTGAAATTATAATGCGTCTTTTTATAATTTCATGGGGTTCTTACAGCTTAAAAAGAATGTGTTTCCAATGATGTGAAATAAACTATGCTTTTAAAGTTCAAATATATTCAAAAGCCTTCTCTTGGCATGCATGTAAGCAATTGTTACACACTTCAGGCTTTTTTTTTTTTTAATTTCCCTAACTCTTTTTTTAATTTTCTTTACCTGAAATTTATATCTATTTAAGAGAAATAATTCAAACTTCTCTTTCCCTTTTTTGTTAATACTTTAACATGAAAAAAATTATTTCAAAATTATATACTACTTACCAAATGAAATCAGAAAAAAAAGTCACTGAAAGAAATTATAGACTTACTTGACATTTATACTGGCGGGAAGAATCATCATAATTCTCGCCAGTGACAGGATTGACGGCCTGGGATACATCCTGCAGACTGATATTAGCTGACTGACTGCCATGAGTCAGATTATCATGGTCTATAGTTTGTTGTAAAAGAGAATCGTCTTCAACTGTCCCATGTAAGTTATCCTCTAGACTATCATCTAGGTCCACATCATCATCATCGTCATCTTCATTGTTACCATCATCTACTTGACCAATATCTACCATACCTTCTACTTCAGTTATATCTGCCTGTGTAACTGTTATCTGAAAAAAATTGAAATAATGCAATCTTAGACTGTTAAATAAATCTTTAGTTTTCAGGGTCAATTATCATAACCACCCATTTAATAAAAAAAACTCTATGGAACCAAACTATCTTATTCTTGAGACTTCAATGGATGATTTCTTAAAATAATGTCAGCAGACAAAGTAGATCTCTAGGTGATGAAGAGCTTGAAGGAGTTGTTTAACATGTTTTTTTTCCTTTTTTTTTGCCTCAGTCAAGGGAGATAACTCCATTCCTCAGATGATAATGGAGGCTGTTTACCAGCCAGTTGCAAATCAAATGTATATTCAGGACGAGAACATGAGAGTGTGATGTGAATTTAAACCTTGCTTTATACAAGACAGACACAATAAGTCAGATTTTTCACGTGCTATTTCACAAGGTATCAGTTCACAGGAAGACATGTCGCCGTACCCGCACACATTATTCTGACTCTGAGCTAGCCAACCAGTCTTTGCTTACTCCTACATGCCACATACCCAATGGAGAAGCAGCAAATACCAATTTTCAAGCTTTTAGGTCTTTCCCACATACAAGGTGAATACGCTACTAAGAGACCACCGAGGAGGTTTACATTAATCACTATCAGGTCTTTGTCTATTTAATATAATACAACTAACATGGTAGTTAAAAATAAATGTAACATCATGTCGCAAACACAAAAGATGAATCAATCTAATATCGTGCGCTTACCACGTGCACAGCGCTATCAAAAAATCCTGGGGAGAACTCTGAGTAATTTGTTTGTATTACCATCATTCGTCACTTGAAAAAAATGGTACTCACAAACATAAATTTTCATAAATCTATAATTTTTTTCGTAGAAATCTTTCATTAGAATTCTCAGGCATTCAAATTTCATAAATCTAAAATTTTCTTTCATTCAATCTTTTGAATTCTTAAGCATTAAATTTATATGTTATTGTATAAACTTTATTTACACTCCTATCTTTAGATACTTCTGGCAAATAAATGACTTAAATCACCCAATTACCTGATCACTGGGTATGGTTCCATCTCCTGATACCACAAAAGCATTGGGTGCTCCATCAGTCATTACAACACTTGCACCAGACGTGGCCATCATGTTCTGGTCAGTAATACCAGACATAGGTTGTACTATGATGTTAGGGTTAATAGCTTCCTGTTGTTGCTGTATCTGAACATTCTGTATAATGTTTGGATCGGCAGTTTGTAACGCTTGAGTGAGTATGTTTGGATTAATGGTTATATTTATGTTCCCTTGGGACTGAAGCTGTTGTAACAAATTAGCATCGATCTGAACAGTCTGGGAGAATATATTAGGGTCAAGACCCGTAATCTGGACACCCTGGTTTCCAGTCAACTGTAACTGTATACCTTCTAAACCTTGTAATACTTGGGTGGCTAGGGCACTTTCTGAAAGTCCTGTAAGAGGAGTGTCTGTAGGGACAGTCAACTGTACAGGTAATATACCCTGACCACCTAGCATTGATTGGTCTAAATGAATCACATGACTTTGATTATTCTGATTTATCGTCATCACATTTTGTACATCATTTGCAGATACATAGTCAACATTCTGAACAGATTCTTCTGGTTCCCTTGCCTTTCTCCTTTTAGGTGGATCTGATTTGAAATGTTGTAACACGTGACTCTTACGATTTCCAGAAGTCCTAAATCTTTGATCACAATGTGGACATTTAAATGGTTTAGCACCTGTATGTAGTCTCATGTGAACTTTTAAACTTCCTTTCGTAGCAAACATGGCTGCACACACATGACATTTGTAATTCTTTGTTGCTGAAATATAAATATTAAACGTAATTCAGTTTTGATAAATGTTTTCTTATGCTTTACATCATACCATACATATTTACTACATAATATGAAAAATTGTGATGTTTCAGGATTTATATAAGTAGAGAATTCAGTAACCATCAAAAATACAATTTTTCACTGATTTCAACTCATTACTGGTTTAATAAAATTGGTAAAAAAAAAAACATAATTTGTAAAGGTGAATATATTACTATCTGCTTGATCACCATCAACATATCATAACCAGTCTAAGGGAAATAACTCTAAATAAATTTGGTCATAATTCTTCATTCACTCATTAAGTGATCACCAGTTTATAATATATGTGACAATATACATATAGTTACTTAAAAACTATGTACATGAATGAATTCTTTATAGGTTTAGTTGTTTTGACCTAAAGAAGGAGGACAACACGTTCAAGACATGAACACTTTACTTTTGTTTTACTTAAACAAGAAGGACAACACTTTCACGTTACTTTTGTTTTACTAAAAAAAAGAAGGACAACCAACACATGTAATACATAAAACTTTTCCTATATTTTTACAAGAAGTGATATTTACACTTGATGTGATTGTCGTGTGTATTTACTAATGTCATGCATTATCACTTATATCACTCTGTATACATTCACTTAATCATGTGTTAATACTGCCATGATGAGCAATATTTTTTTATACTACTATAATGTTATCTCATGTGGTTGTCTAGTGTTTTGCTAATACCATTTTTTCTAATGTGGCTGTTTAGTGAATATATTACAGATACAATTTTTAATGCAAATATTCGGTGTACTTACATCTGCCGTGTTTACTCATGTGACTGTCTAATGTACTTACAACTGACATAACTCTCATGTGACTGTCTAATGAACTCACAATAAGATGCTTCTTATATGGCAGTATGGTATACTACTAAAGTGTTTTCCCATATGGGTGTAAAAGTACCTACTAATTTTTTGCCTTATTATGAAGGTTAACTTTATACAGCAACAATATGTGACTGTTATGTGTACTTACTACTGCCCTGAGTTTTCATGTGATTTTGATGTGTAGTTACTACTGCCATGAGTTTTTGTGTGCTTTTGATGTGTACTTACTACTGCCATGAGTTTTCATGTGATTTTGATGTGTACTTATTACTGCCATGAGTTTTCGTGTGAATTTGATGTGTACTTACTACTGCCATGACTTTTCATGTGATTTTGATGTGTACTAACTACTGCCATGAGTTTTCTTGTGATTTTGATGTGTACTTACATAGCCACGAGTTTTCATGTGATTTTGATGTGTACTTACTACTGCCATGAGTTCTAATGTGACTTTGATATATACTTACTACATGTATTGCGATGAGTTTTCATGTAATTATTATGTATACTTACTACTGCCATGAGTTCTCATGTGGCTATCCAGTGTAGATTTGACAGTAAATGCTCTGCCACATGTATCACATTTGAAGGGCTTTTCACCAGTGTGTATCCTGATGTGTCTGACTAAATCACTGGGCTTCTTAAAACTTTTACTACAATGATTACACTGGTGAGCATGTTTATAGGCATCAGAGTCCTCATCATTTTCATCTTCCTGTAACCAGAAAATTCTATCTTGAAAAATATGGAAACATGTAAAGAATGTAATCTTTTCAAGGTAATGCTTCCTGACATCCTGAATGCAACAAACCATCACAGTTAGCTTTGTATTTTTTTTATGTAAAAAATTACATCAAAGTACAAAATATTTGAATATTAGTTTTTTTTATATGTTAATCTGCAGCTATGCATTTGCGCAAATTCAAAATACGTTAACCGTATAAACTTTGATTTTAAAGATTTACTGAGAAAACCATGTTTAATACTTTCGATAATCATTTTCCCTAGAGCCTTCATGAAAAATGCAGTTTCCAGAATTTTTACATCATTCACTTCAAATTTCAAAACTGTTGACTTTTACGCAAGTCATTTGATTGAACAGTTTGAAGAGAACAACCATAAGATGTCTCAAATCATAATTTTCACTTATACTCAGCTCAAACACGTTAGAAATGCTCAGCAAAGCTTTGTACAAACACATTCTATATTTTCAGACTCCTGTGGATTCATTATTATTCGTGGGATATCAATTTTTCGTGTATTTCGTGGGTACAGGTGAACCATGAATTATGATTTTCAACGAATTGCAAATTTCCTTTACGCTTGTATGTAGACTTTTGCAAAACCATGAAATCAAATATCCACGAAAATGCAAGTTTTCCTCAATCCACGAAAATTAGTACCCACGAAAATAAATGAATCCACAGTATGTATCATTATTCTGTATATATACCATTCTTCCAAAAACTTTAAAGTACAGGTAGTACATAAACAAAGTGAACATGAATAAACTTGTAAATGTCATTGTATAAAGATACTTGTATTATATAAGGGCCAGATAAAAGTTCTTATCATAATCTACCTATTTTTCTACTTCTGTTAGAACTTTGATACCATAATGAAAAAAAAGTGTGGAAAACTGATTTGACGGATTGACGGATGGACGGACAGGCAGACAGACAGATGGAGTGCAAACCTAAAGTCCCCTTCTACTTCGTCGGTAGGGGACTAATTGAGTATTCTCCATATGAATACATTCTCAAACTGTAATAAAATGCTCGGCTGGGGCGCAGCTTGATACGACCGCAGAGGTCGAACCCTGAACAGTTGGGCCAAGTATGGACACAACATTCAAGCTTGATACAGCACTGAATTTGGATTGTAATTAAATATTTGACACAGCATAGGTTTCTGACACAGAATGAATGGGGTCTAAGAACTTAAAAAATTTTAAATTTACCTATTCACACCATATCATTATTATTGGCTTTTATATATAAATCAGAAATAACCAATTTAAAATGGAAAATTTTAAAGAAAAAAAAAGGAAAAAAAATCACCCCCCCAAATAAATTTTTTGAACCCCCTTATGATTCACCACCCCCAAACTCAATCCCAGCCTTCCCTTTGGGGTATGATACCTTGCAGTACAATTTCAGAGAGATCCATACACTTGAACATAAGTTATTGTCTGGAAACTAGAAAAATGCTTGTTTTTTGGCCCCAAATTCCTAAACGTTTTGGGCAATTACCCTCAAACTCAAACCCAGCTTTCCCTTTGTGATATGGAACCTTGTAGTACAATTTCATAAAGATCCATACACTTACACACAAGTTATTGTCCTGAAACTAGAAAAATGCTTGTTTTTTGCCCCCTAATTCCCAAAATTTTGAGGCAATTACCCCCAAAATCAATCCCAGCATTTCCTTTGTGATATGGAACCTTGTGGTACAATGTCAGAGAGATCCATACACTTACACACAAGTTATTGTCATGAAACTAGAAAAATGCTCATTTTTGCCCCTTTTTGGCCCCTAATTCCTAAAATTTGGAAGCAATTACCCCCAAAATTAATCCCAGCATTACCTTTGTGATATGGAACCTTGTGGTACAATGTCAGAGAGATCCATACACTAACAAACAAGTTATGTCTGGAAGTTACAAAATTGCTTATTTTTGGCCCCTTTATGGCCCCTAATTCCTAAAATTTTGAGGCAATTACCCCCCAAATCAATCCCAGCCTTCCCTTTGTGGTATGGTACCTTGCAGTACAATTTCAGAGAGATCCATACACTTGAACACAAGTTATTGTCTGGAAACTAGAAAAATGCTTATTTTTGGCCCCTTATTCCTAAACGTTTTGGGCAATTACCCCCAAAACTCAATTCCAGTTTTCCCTTTGTGATATGGAACCTTGTAGTACAATTTCAGAAAGATCCATACACTTACACACAAGTAATTGTCCTGAAACTAGAAAAATGCTTGTTTTTTTGCCCCTAATTCCTAAAATTTTGAGGCAATTGCCCCCAAAATCAATCCCAGCATTCCCTTTGTGATATGGAACCTTGTGGTACAATGTCAGAGAGATCCATACACTAACACACAAGTTATGTCTGGAAGTTACAAAAATGCTTATTTTTGGCCCTTTTTTGGCCCCTAATTCCTTAACTGTTGGTACCATAACCCCCAAAATCAATCCCCACCTTCCTTTTGTGGTATTGAACCTTATGGTACAATTTTATAGAGATCCATTCTCTTAAACTAAAGTAAGAGTGTGAAAACCAATGTGTCTTCGGACGACGACGATGCCAACGTCATACCAATATACGTTATTGGTAAAAATTTTGCGGTCATATAAAAACTTGGACCATGAAATTAAATAAATCAGCAACATACTAACCTTATCTGTGACAACTTTTTCTTTGTCTGATGAATCTTGCAAAATTTTCTTGGAAACATTTAGTTGGTCTTCTTCTTGGACAACTTCATCAATTTCTTGTGACTGTTCTTCATAAACTAAATTAATCACAGATGATTTAGGACGTTTGTTTAAGGCTATGTCCTCTTCAATCACTAAAATAGAAAAAAAAACTATCACAGTATAAAAAAAGAATTTCCATCTACAAAGTGTATAATTTCAAACCAGGACCATTGTATATAAAATTAAACCAAAATTACAAGGCAAGATATAAAAAACAAAAGTGATGATTACTTATTCTTACAATAAAAAGTATACAAACACTCAAATTAAATAAAAAAAAAAATAAAAAAGAGTCACCCAGTCCACATTTGTATTAAATGAATCTTTGTACAGAAATTTAAATAATAATAAAATGCTTCGCTGGGCGCAGCTTGATAAGTCCGCAGAGGTCAAACCCTGAACAGTTGGGGCAAGTATGGACACAACATTCAAGCTTGATAAGTCTTTGGACCTTAATGTAGACCAATTTAAAAAACAGGACCCAAAATTAAAAATCTAAATACACGGTTAGATTTGGAATATCAAAGAACCCCAATTATTCAATTTTTGATGAAATCAAACAAAGTTTAATTTTGGACCCTTTTGACCTCAATATGAACCAATTTGATAGGGGGGCCCACAAATAAAAAATCTAAATACATGGTTAGATTCAGCATATCAAAGAACCCCATATATTCAATTTTTGTTGAAATCAAACAAAGTTTAATTTTGGACCCCAATTTGGACCAACTTGAAAACTGGGCCAAAAATCTAAAATCTAAATACATGTTTAAATTCAGCATATCAAAGAACCCCATATATTCAATTTTTGTTGAAATCAAACAAAAAAGTTTAATTTTGGACCCCAACTTGGACAAACTTGAAAACTGGGCCCATAATCAAAAATCTAAACACATGTTTAGATTCAGCATATCAAAGAACCCCAAGAATTCAATTTTTGTTAAAATTAAACTAAAGTTTAATTTTTGGACCCTTTGGATCTTAATGTAGACCAATTTAAAAAACAGGACCCAAAATTAAAAATCTAAATACATGGTTGGATTTGGCATATCAAAGAACCCCAATAATTCAATTTTTGATGAAATCAAACAAAGTTTAATTTTGGACCCCTCTGACCTCAATGTGAACCAATTTGATAGTGGGGTCCACAAATAAAAAATCTAAATACATGGTTAGATTCAGCATATCAAAGAACCCCATATATTCAATTTTTGTTGAAATCAAACAAAGTTTAATTTTGGACCCCAATTTGGACCAACTTGAAAACTGGGCCAAAAATCAAAAATCTAAATACATGTTTAGATTCAGCATATCAAAGAACCCCATATGTTCAATATTTGTTAAAATCAAACAAAGTTTAATTTTGGACCCTTTGGACCTTAATGTAGACCAATTTGAAAACTGGACCCAAAATTAAAAATCTAAATACATGGTTAGATTCGGCATAACAAATAAATAAATGTGGTCAAAGATTTTACAAATCTAATGCGCCATACTTTGCAATTAAAGATTACTTCTTGAAATTTTTCAATATTTGAAATTTGAAAAAAAAAATATTTGAAGAATAATTCTTTTTAATTACTGAAATCTGAAATGAGAAAAAATTGACCCACCACAATTTCTTTTTACCCCCCCCCCCCTTTTTCCCCCCAAAAATTCTTTCCCTCAAGATATGGTCATAATCTCAATTCAAATTTCCAATGGAGTTTGCAACCATAATTACCCATTTAAATTTACCATAGTGCTAACTTAATATCTATTTTATAATAGAATTTAAAATATAGTGTCAAATCTTTCATATGGATTTTTTTGTAAAAAAAAAAGATGCAACATTTGCAGATATTTTTACTGGTCTTCCTTTATAAATATGCATTTCTTTAAACATAATTTAAAAGCAGTGTAAGGGAAGTAACCAAAACGTTGTATTTGGATTACCTCCCTTACACTGTTTTAAATTATCTTAATTGTTCATTAACCATTACTTTATACATAATTTAAAAGCAGTGTAAGGGAGGTAATTTCAATGATGTATTTGATTTATCTCCCTTACACTGCTTTAAATTATGTTTTGTACTAAAGTATTTGTCCATTAACCAGGACAACCTTGTTTTTCCCCCTTTTTTGCCCCTAATTCCTTAACGGTTTGAGCCATAACCCCCCAAAGCAAATCCTAACCATCCCTTTGTGGTATGGAAACTTGTAGTATAATTTCAGAGAGATCCATACACCGTTCCACAGATATTGTCTGGAAACTAGAAAATGCTTATTTTTGGCCCCTTTTTGGCCCCTAATTCCTTAACTGTTGGTACCATAACCCCCAAAATCAATCCCAACCTTTCTTTTGTGGTATTTAACCTTATGGTAAAATTTGAAGGAGATCCATTCACTTAAACTAAAGTTAGAGTGCGAAAACCAATGTGTCTTCGGACGACGACGACGCCAACGTCATACCAATATATGATTTTTTGCGGTCGTATAAAAACATACCATCACTATGGGTTTTCATATGTCTTTTCATCATATTGTATGATTTGAATGATTCTTCACAGTAAGGACATTTCTGTGACCGTTGACGATCGTGGACAGACATATGGCGGACCAATGAACCATTGGTAGTAAACTCAGCTTTACAAAAACTACACTGGAACTGTTTGACTGCATCATGAGTCCTCTGATGAGATCGGAGTACACTGGCTGATATGAAACTCTTGCTACATTGATAACAGGAATAAGGTTTCTCTCCTGCAACATACAATTAAAAACATTTACAACTATTGTTAAATAATCATATAAAATAGATGCTTCATATGGATTTTATCATTTTGATTGGCAGAAAAAAATCACATGGTGTTTTAAATTGATGTTTTAATTCCCAATGAAAGGCAACATCCTGGAATACATATGATATCAAGGAAAAAAATAACAACAATGGGTATGAATATTTATAATAAAATAAATGAAAGTATGATTTAACTCATAATTTTCTTGATTTGAAATATTAATGTAATTATAATAATGGACTGCTTCTATTTTTGTAGTTTTTCAGTGTTTTATAAATGTTGAACGTGGACACATTCAAAGTATGAAGCGCTACCCCTCTATAATTTGTCAAAACACCAAATCAACAGTCCAAGAAAATAATATTTTTCCAACATCCACAAAACCTAATGCACTTGAGTTGAGAATTGATGAGTATAATATCATAAGTGTATCATAAAGATCTTACATGCCATGATGAAATAATTATTGTAGGGTTTCTTGCATACACTAAACTCATAATGTTTAGAGTTATATTTACCTGTGTGAGATCTCATGTGCTGTTTAAGATGAGATGACTTCTTATAGGCTTTATCACATAAAGTACAAGGATATTGTCTAGCTCCGTCATCATCATCTTTTTGTAAAGATTCCGTCCCCTGTGTTGGTGCTGCTGGCTGTTCCTTGTCCACTGTTTCTGCTTCCTGTGCCTCCAAAATGGATATGTCACTAAAATAATAATAAGTGGAAATATCTATTATTCTCTTATGGTTGTGAGCTGTTATCTATTTCTTGCATGTGGAGATATTTCTTGTATCACACTGCACGGAGTGTGATACGAAAAATTGATACGAAAATTGTATTAATTTGATTGACTTATCCAGCATCATAATTAAATTTATACATTGTTATTTAATTTAAATAGTAATAATAAACTTGCCACAGGCCCATTTATTATTATATTGAAATGAAATAACTCTAGTTGATATCAAGAGATATCCAAATCTCACTTGTTATGAAGCCTATAAATATCCATCATCATAGCATATTCAATGTTTGCTAAAAGGATTTTTTTTAATGTCTGCATTTTTGAAGTCTTTATAATTGAAGCCACAATTCCTTGTTAAAACTATCATATTGATTTTAAGTTAAATATGATCAAAATGTCCTTTTTTTTTTATATATATATATAAAAAAAGGAAAATCTTTTAATATCCTTCCAAAATAAAGAGTTAAGTAAATTTGCAAACTTTACATTTGTATTGTTGACTTTTTGTGTTACTATGTGTTATATGATGGTTGTGTTGCTGATATTTATCACATATATCTCCTTTTTATTTTTGCTTAAGAATAAGATTTTATAATTGTAAACACATTTGCAGAGTAGATATTCATAAACAAATATTCTGACAAACTTTAAAATGAAATGTAGCAATTACCTTGTAGGCAGTATATTCTGCATAGAAGTACTTGGTAGACTAGTGGTCAAAGAGGTAACTCCTTGGCTAAAGTTCAATGAGTTTAGATCTTGAAGTGGTTGCCCCTAAAAATCAAATAAAATTGTCAAAACTAATATACCTCATATTCTGTTTTAACATTAGATCATCTTATTTGTTTCATTCCAATAAAATATTGGTATATCTGATCGCCAGTTTGAGTTGCATAATAAAACAGAAGTAAATAAATTTGTTTAATAGGTAGATTAAAGATTTCAATTTTATTATATTTTCATTATTTTTCAAACCCTCTATGAAATTTTAATTGTTTGACAAAATTTTCTCCATATACATATTACATAATTTTAATCTGATTTCTACTTCTGTTCACTTTTCCACAAATACATTACAAGTCACTTATACTGATTCCCTGTTTTTGTTTCCTCATATACTATCTTACCTGTATTTGGAAACTGTTTGGATTAAAAATGGTAGCATCAAGCTGGCCTCCATGCTGACTGGTAATTGGTGTCACCATAGTATCATTGAGAGATGTAGTAAATTGGTTGTTCATAGATGTGGGCATCTGATTGGTTATTTGGTTGTTAAGTTGAGAGGTCATGACATTTTGAGGTTGAATTTGATTATTGATATGTTGATTCAACTGAGCAAAATTCTGCTGTCCTGTTCCTAGTAAACTCTGACTGAATGTTTGTGGTTGACCAAATATCTAGAAAATAAAAAAAAACATACTGTATTTATAAAAAAAACTTATTTCACAGAGACTTTTTTGTAGCCCTTTCTAGCATTTCACAGTGATTTGGAGTAATTAAGAGGGTGGAGATCTAACATTACTATTTTAACCCAGTCATTCTGAATAAATCTGTTCATATAAAAATAAGGAGATGAGGTATGATTGCCAATGAGACAACTATCCATCAAAGTTCAAATTGTCTGTGGTCTATTTCATAATACCCTTTTTTCCATTGAGGAATTTGGTGGTTACGTCAGAACCTTGCTAGTCTTTCTTTGTTGAATCAATGAGTCTAATCTTTGATGGTTCAGAGCTTTAGGATGAATAGATACTTATCTATCACTGAATTTGCCCTGAATGTGCATAAAATATTTTCAAATGAACATTAACCAAAAATAATCAATGAATCTATCACAGAAGACACATGCTAATTTCTAGATACATTGATAATTTTGAAGTGCTGTTTGGTTGCTGCCTCCTTAATGTGTATTTATCATCTTTTATTTACACTAAAAAGATTTGTATTTACATTAAAAAGGGATTTTAATTATGTAAATATATGAAAATAATTCATATATACAATTGGGTACTCTTTCTAATTGTCTTATTGAAATTTATTTGCACTGACAACTTTTTGATTGATTCATTTTGATTGATTCATTATGATGGATTCATAAAAATGCCTGAAAACCTAAAGTATTACTCCTGCTGTTAATAATTCAAAATTATTTTTAATTCTAAATTTACTTTCTACAACATATCCTTGGCATTTAGTTTTAACCTATGTTTATACTAACAGAAATTTTAACTTAAAAATTAATTCTCACACAAAATGAGTTGACCGATTTTCCCTAAGCTTCATACAACACTGAACCAACTTTCCAACAAGCAATATATATAAAATCAAATATCATTTGGTCAAATAATCTATGCTGTAACTAATAATATATTCACCTGATGATTAAGAGTTTGCTGGAATTGTTGATCCAGACTAGCAGAATTGAGAGCATCCTGAATACTGGTCTGAGCTAGGCCGTCATTCTGATTAATGGCACCGGATTGGTCAGTTTGTTGAAGGACAAGGTCCGCCAAATTGTTTTCCTCAACAAGATCAGCCTGATCTTTGTCTGTAGCATCTTGACTATCTCCATCAACATCCTGTCCATCGTTCTGTAGGGCTTGCAGAGCCAACTCATGTCTGAAGTATATCATATCATATCAGATGACAACTTATTCATTTTGAACATTTCAGTCTACCAAATATTGCAAGGTAAGGAGAGACATAAAATATATGGGTTTTGCTCATTGCTGAAGGCCATAAGGTGACCTATAGTTGTTAATTTCTATGTTATTTGATCTCTTGTGGAGAGTTGCCTCATTGGCAATCATACCACATCTTCTTATTTTTATAATGTTCATGTAAATGTTAACAATTTATCCGTTAATCTTTCGTGTGTCCAGTAGACTACACCTAATAGGATATTGGCTAAATGTATATATATTGGTTATTGTAATTGTATTTCAAAACACCAAACCCTTAGGTTTAATGTAAATTTTATTGTGTAAATATATCAACAAATTGGATAAATTATTCCTGAAAATTGTGTCAAAACCATGCATAATAGGATAGTTACAATGATTTTCTGACAGAAAATGAACTCTGAATACACAATTACAATTTTGCAGACAAGAAAATTTTTGTCTTTTTTTTTTTAATAAATAACTGTTTCTTAATAAATTGGTGTCTTCTTTGTAATGTAAATTAGATGACCTTTACAGTTCAAATAATTTGAATCTATTAAAAAAAAAATACAAGTGCAGTATGTAGACTTCTAGAATTTTGATGCATCACCATTTTCAACAGAACAGATCAAAATTTAATAAATTTTTCAGATAAATTCTTCTACTTACAGTCAAGAATTTTTTTTAAATAATAAATCAGAATATCAATTAAATTTAAACACAGGTCTGCAGTTTGGTTTGGGCAATTGCAAAACAAAAATATTATAAAGCTGATGACAAATTTTTCTCTCATCTTACAGGTAATTTGAAATAGTTCTGAGAACCTGATCTCCAAAATTTAAAAACCCAACATCCAAAGCACAAATCAGTGATAATTTTGAGTGCCTCAAAAGAAAAACCACCCAACTTTTCATGCAAAAGTCATTATGGTAATTTCTCATTTTGCAAAATGTCTTATCCAGATTCAGGAATGAACAAGAAATTCTTTTCTGATTTTGGTATTTAATCCAAAAGATGGAAAAAGGGTCAATAAATTTAGTGAAACCAACATAAAGAGAGAATTTCTGAAGTGACATCATAAATTTTTTCTCAAAATCTAATAAACTTTTCAGCTGCAAAAAAAAAATCTGCTTAAGTTTGAATCCTGAAGCAGGATTATTCATTTATTTTGGTACTCACCTGTGTGTTTTCATATGCTTTTTACAGTTGACCGATGTTTTGAATGTTTTTTGACAATAGGGACACATGAACGGCCTAACTTCACTATGTGTTGACATGTGACGTTTTAGACTTCCGTTTGTGGTAAACATGCTATCACAGATTAAGCACTTGTAAGCTTTCACCCCTGTATGTGTTCTGATGTGAGCTTTCAGTACACCGCTGGAAACAAACGCCTTCATACACTGAATACATTTGTATGGTTTCTCTCCTGTAAATAAAAAGTATATATTTTACTATATGTATTTTAAATCATGCAATTTGTCTAAACACATGTATCTCATATCATGCTATTTCCAAAATAATGATATGAAGCATTGTTAACATGGGATTGCTCAAAATATGTAACAGATAGGGAGAGGGAAATAGCTATAGGATACAGACAAACTTTTGCAACATTAAATCATCTGAGTTATCTCCCCTCATAAATCAAGTTCATAATTAATTTTTGGCTTTAAACAGTTTAATAATATTATCATTTATGTAAAAAATTCTTAACTGTAAGATAAAATAATATAAATTCAATTAAAAAAAATGTCATCATACAAATAAAATGCATGTGTATTCCAAAAAATCTATAAAAAGACACATATAACAAAATCTATCATACTCGCTTGAGGTCCAACATGACAGGCAAAATTTTGTCAACTCTCATACTACTTTTAACAGCGAATAAGAATAATTTTTCTGAACTTTCTAAACACAAATTGTTCCAAATCAGAAAGCTACAAATTTCTTTATTTTTTTCTTTTCAAGCAAGTACGCTTAAATATAGATCAGTCTTTATTCATTTGAATAATCTACTCAATATTTTAACAAGTATCTTAGTAGGAAGTTTGCATTAATTACCTGTATGAGACCTAACATGCTGTTTCAGATGACTGGATTTTTTATATCCTCGTGAGCAGAATCCACATTTATATGGTCTATCAACACTGGCAGCTTCTCCAAGGTATTGATTCAACAAATTATTTCTTGGGGGTTGCTGAATTAGACCTGAAATGAAATTTAATGATGAAATTTATTTACTTTTTTATTGTTGTTAGATCCTTTAGTTTACTCTTTGTCAAAATTATTGGATCTATAATTTTTTCTATAATATCTAACCAATATGCATATGGGTTATTTAACATTAGAATATATACAATGTTTTAACTATAAATATAACAAGAAGATGAATAAAAGTAGAAGTTGTGTATATATTATGTATATACAATGGATAAGCGTTGGTTCGTTAAAAAGATACTACAAACCCGGCAATGGTTTAAACATCAATAAGACAGCAACACAGAAAAGCCTGATGAAAATTTTAACTTATATATATGTATGACGGTACATTACTTTTTACTAAGTCCTACATTTTACATATAAGTTTGCAAACGCTTATTATAGACGTGTATATACCTGTATCAGTAATCAATATTGGTTCCTGAAGTGGTATATCTGGAACCAAGTCCTGTTTATTTGCTCTCCTAAATACTCTTTTAGGTCTTTTATCTAAATCACCATTTCTAAAATGTGATGTTATGTGACTTTTCCTGTGAGCAGATGTCCTGAAACTCTTTTCACATTGAGGACAATCAAATGGCTTAGCACCTGTATAAACATAAAAATAAAGTTAACAAGAATGTGTCCATAGTACACGGATACCCCACTCGCACTATCATTTTCAATGTTCAGTGGACCTTGAAATTGAGGGTAAAAACTCTAATTTGGCATTAAAATTAGAAAGATCATATCATAGGGAACATGTGTACTAAGTTTCAAGTTGATTGGACTTCATTAAAAACTACCTTGACCAAAAACTTTAACCTGAAGCGAAACAGATGGACAAACAAACGGACGCACAGACCGAAAAACATAATGCCCCTCTACTATCATAGGTGGGGCATACAAATTGAATCACCAATCATATTTCCTTCTTTTTTTTTACTTTGCCTCTGTGCATCACAAATTAACCCCTTCTTTAGGCCAATCATAATTAATTGGGCAATAATTCAGATTTTTATGAATTATGTATGCATTTCATATTCCCTGAACTGCATCTATATATTATAAATTTAAAGAAAACATTCCAAATATGTTTATATTCATGGAGAAATAAGTCAATACAGTGTTTAATGGAAACAGAAAGGTGTGGAACATGAAGAATTCACTAATTCACCTCCCATTGCACGATCTCCGTTTTTCATTTGACTTCGATACTGAATGCCTACATTTTTCGTTATCATTAATTAGTAAGTTAAAAATATTAAAATGTCTGTGAGAAAAATTAAGTAACCTCTGACTGCGTTGGACAGGTGATTGTTGAAATGAGTTAAGTTAAATAGAGAAAATGTTTGGGAGGGTCTGAAAGAGACCATAACAGGCTGGTGACCGCTGAAACGAGGTGACCGTTAAGGCAGGTTTGACTGTATTTGATGAACTATTTGATGTGTTTACATATGTTGCACAGAAAGGAAGCCAACAGCTGCATCCCTCTATATTAGGCTGCTGCACCCTCTATTTTAGGCTGAATAGGACATTGCACAGTGCATGTTTCAACATTTTATCCTTAATATATTTTCTGACAACCTCATTTTTACTGTTTCAAAATGCAAGTGTTTCTTACCAGTATGCATTCTAAGATGAACTTTCAAACTGCCTTGAGTAGAAAACATTTTAGTACATAAATCACATTTATAATCTTTGATTCCAGAGTGAGTTTTAATGTGTGCTGTCAATGTACTTTTCACAGCAAATGATCGGAAGCACTGGGTACACTTATAAGGCTTTTCATGAGTATGGATACGAATATGACGAACAAGATCACTGGGTTTCTTGAATTCCTTCGCACAATAAGTACACTGATGCCATCTCACTCCATTTACCTGCAAAATACAAGAAAAATGTGTTATTCATGACTGTTCTATTTTATTAGAATGATAAATATTAATTGCCAAGACATTTAACATTTCAATGTTGGAAATTTCCATTAACCCTAAAAACATAATATTGCAATGCCGACAATACATACTTATAAATTGGTGTAAATAAACAAGACAACAGATAAATAAAATTCCATGAAACAAAATGTATATATATATGAATATTTTCATTCAAGCAGACTACATGCAGCTGTTGGTTTTCTCTTTTGAACTGCTTTACATTTTGTCATTAGGCCTTTTATAGCTTCCAATGGGGTATGGGTGTCATCTTTATTGAAGGTCATACAGCGACCTGTAGTTGCTAACATCTACATCATTTGGGTTTGGTGGACAGTCGTCTCATTGGCATTCATACCAAATGTTTGAATTTACAGCCGTTCATTTATGATAGATAATAACAGCAGCCATCTTCTCTGATTATCGTGATTTCCATAGAGGTATAATTCTGTACTAACACAAACTTTATCTCCAACTTTTTTTAAATCAAAATACGAACTTATAAAGAGTTCTATATTTTTGTATATTTATTATCATAAAAATTTGCTAGGGGTTCTGCGGAACCCTGTGTCTTGCCTGTGATTGCTGCTGCCAGTGTAAAAGTGTTTGCTTCAGACAATATCTCTTAACCATTAAAAAGCTTCTGTTAAAGTTTCATAAAACTCTATGAAGATTCGACAAAGTAATTGATGTGTTACAAACTTTAAGCCCAGTCTGTATCTACTTGTTAATTGTAAAAAAATTAAGTCCATTTGTCAGTTCAATAGGTAAAAATGAAAATAAATGCTTTCATAATTTTGCTCTGGATACTGTATTTTGGTCATAAAAAAGCCCCTGTCCAAAGTTCATAAATTTCCATGAAGGTTTCACAAAGTTATTGATGATTGAAAAACTTTAACCTCAGATTGAGCTTGAGTGTTAACTGTAAAAAAACTAAGTCCATTTATCAGTGAAATACTGAAAAATGAAAATAAATATTTTCAAAATTTTGCTCTGGATACTGTATTTTGGTTAAAAACAAGCTTCTGTGCAAATTTCATAAAATTCCATGTAGTTTTGACAAAGTTATTGATGTTTTAAAAATCTCTAACCACAGGCCAAACCTAAATGTTGACGACACCAAAGATGGAATCTAGGATCACTATATCTCGCTTTTGCAAAATAAAACATTTTCGACAAAACTGAAACTGACACTGGTCCCCTACTTTTTTTAAGCTTAAAACAGACTTATACCTTTCTGATAATATGCTTTTTGACAGAACCAGTAGCAGAATCCTGCAATGTCATGGTTGTCACTGTTTGTGTTATTGGTGTATGCTGTAATACAGAGATAGGCATTGGAGCAACGGGTACCAGTTCCGTACCAGAAGTTGACGGCACTACTGTCCCAGTTCCCGTTTCACCACTAGGAAGACCACTATTTTCTAAGGCTTGTTGCAGAATATCACTATTTGAAACCTGAAATATAAAAATTATGAAAAGTCATATTTCATAGAAAAATAATTGGCTAACAATGGATTTTGTGGGAATCCCTTTTTCCCTTTTCATGTTTTCCATTTTCAGCATGTGCAGTTAAGAATGTAATGTTCTTTGTCAATTAATTTCTGGTTGAGAATTTTAATTTCCTTGGTAAAATTTATCTAACAAACAGTTCATTAATAATCCTAATTTATGAAATAATAAAATGCTTCGCTGGGGCGCAGCTTGATACGACCGCAGAGGTCGAACCCTGAACAGTTGGGGCAAGTATGGACACAACATTCAAGCTTGATACAGCTCTGAATTTGGATTGTTATTAAATATTTGACACAGCATAGGTTTCTGACACAGAAAGAATGTGGTCTAAAAACTTGAATTTTTTTAATTTACCTATTATGGTCCAATGTCCAAAATCAAAATACATGGTTAGATTCAGCATATCAAAGAACCCCATATATTCAATTTTTGTTAAAATCAAACAAAGTTTAATTTTGGACCCCAACTTGGACAAACTTGAAAACTGGGCCCATAATCAAAAATCTAAACACATGTTTAGATTCAGCATATCAAAGAACCCCAAGAATTCAATTTTTGCTAAAATCAAACTAAGTTTTATTTTGGACCCTTTGGACCTTAATGTAGACCAATTTAAAAAACGGGACTTAAAATTAAAAATCTAAATACACGGTTAGATTTGGAATATCAAAGAACCCCAATAATTCAATTTTTGATGAAATCAAACAAAGTTTAATTTTGGACCCTTTTGACCTCAATATGAACCAATTTGATAGCGGGGCCCACAAATAAAAAATCTAACTTCATGGTTAGATTCAGCATATCAAAGAACCCCATATATTCAATTTTTGTTGAAATCAAAAAAAGTATAATTTTGGACCCCAACTTGGACCAACTTGAAAACTGGGCCCATAATAAAAAATCTAAACACATGTTTAGATTCAGCATATCAAAGAACCCCAAGAATTCAATTTTTTGTTAAAATCAAACTAAGTTTAATTTTGGACCCTTTGGACCTCAATGAAGACCAATTTAAAAAACGGGACCCAAATTAAAAATCTAAAAACACAGTTAGATTTGGCATATCAAAGAACCCCAATAATTCAATTTTCGATGAAATCAAACAAAGTTTAATTTTGGACCCTTTTGACCTCAATATGAACCAATTTGATAGTGGGGCCTACAAATAAAAAATCTAAATACATGGTTAGATTCAGCATATCAAAGAACCTCATATATTCAATTTTTGTTGAAATCAAACAAAGTTTAATTTTGGACCCCAATTTGGACCAACTTGAAAACTGGGCCCATAATCAAAAATCTAAATACATGTTTAGATTCAGCATATCAAAGAACCCCATATATTCAATTTTTATTGAAATCAAACAAAGTTTAAATACTGGACCCTATCTTGGACCAACTTGAAAACTGGGCCCATAATCAAAAATCTAAACACATGTTTAGATTCAGCAAATCAAAGAACCCCAAGAATTCAATTTTTGTTAAAATCAAACTAAGTTTAATTTGGACCCTTTGGACCTCAATGTAGACCAATTTAAAAAACAGGACCCAAAATTAAAAACCTAAATACACGGTTAGATTTGGAATATCAAAGAACCCCAATAATTCAATTTTAGATGAAATCAAACAAAGTTTAATTTTGGACCCTTTTGACCTCAATATGAACCAATTAGATAACGGGGTCCACAAATAAAAAATCTAAATACATGGTTAGATTCAGCATATCAAAGAACCCCATATATTTAATTTTTGTTGAAATCAAACAAAGTTTAATTTTGGACCCCAATTTGGACCAACTTGAAAACTGGGCCAAAAATCAAAAATCTAAATACATGTTTAGATTCAGCATATCAAAGAACCTCATATATTCAATTTTTGCTAAAATCAAACAAAGTTTAATTTTGGACCCTTTGGACATTAATGTAGACCAATTTGAAAACTGGACCCAAAATTAAAAATCTAAATACACTGTTAGATTCGGCATAACAAATAAATAAATGTGATCAAAGATTTTACAAATCTAATGCGCCATACTGTGCAATTAAAGATTACTTCTTGAAATTTTTCAATATTTGAAATTTGAAAAAAAAATAATATTTGAAGAATAATTCTTTTTAATTTCTGAAATCTGAAATGAGAAAAAATTGGCCCCCCACAATTTCTTTTTATCCCCCCCCCCCTTTTTCCCCCCAAAAAATTCTTTCCCTCAAGATATGGTCATAATCTCAATTCAAATTTCCAATGGAGTTGGCAACCATAATTACCCATTTAAATTTACCATAGTGCTAACTTAATCTATTTTATAATAGAATTAATAAAAATATAGTGTCAAATCTTTCATATGGATTTTTTTGTAAAAAAAAAAGATGAAAACATTTGCAGATATTTTTACTGGTCTTCCTTTATAAATATGCATTTCTTTAAACATAATTTAAAAGCAGTGTAAGGGAAGTAACCAAAACGTTGTATTTGGATTACCTCCCTTACACTGTTTTAGATTATCTTTATTGTTCATTAACCATTACTTTATACATAATTTAAAAGCAGTGTAAGGGAGATAATTTCAATGATGTATTTGATTTATCTCCCTTACACTGCTTTAAATTATGTTTTGTACTAAAGTATTTGTCCATTAACCAGGACAACCTTGTTTTTCCCCCTTTTTTGCCCCTAATTCCTAAACGGTTTGAGTCATAACCCCCCAAAGCAAATCCTAACCATCCCTTTGTGGTATGGAAACTTGTAGTATAATTTCAGAGAGATCCATACACCGTTCCACAGTTATTGTCTGGAAACTAGAAAATGCTCATTTTTGGCCCCTTTTTGGCCCCTAATTCCTTAACTGTTGGTACCATAACCCCCAAAATCAATCCCAACCTTCCTTTTGTGGTATTTAACCTTATGGTCAAATTTCAAAAAGATCCATTCACTTAAACTAAAGTTAGAGTGCGAAAACCAATATGTATTCGGACGACGACGACGACGACGACGACGCCGGACGACGACGACGACGACGACGCCAACGTCATACCAATATACGACCACAAAATTTTTTTGCGGTCGTATAAAAATAAATCAAGACCCCAATGAAAATTTTTGCTTTTACAGTATATATAATACAGCTATTACCTGTTGTCCATCAATCTCTTGTATTTGATTTTCTGTTGTGTGTTGATTGGATTCATCCTGATCAGCAGGTTGTTCTGACAAACCTAAAATCTGGTTTATAACCATGTCGTTCTGTTCTTCTGTTATCAATTGTTTACCAGAATCATTAGGCATTGGAATCTCCTACAAAGAAATATTCGTTTTCGGAACATGAACTACATAATATGAGAAATCATCAATAACAGAAGCATGAATACAAAATTATTGAAAATATTGGAAATAAAGATAGTATGCAATATGGACAATGATAATAGTGAGAGAAAAAAGAAAAGAAAAAATGACTACTTTTATTTGAAGGTATTTTGCCAGTAAAAGCCAAACAAAATTTAAAATAAAACATACTGTTTGTTCTGCATGTTCACGACTAATATGAGCATTCAAACTTCCAAGCTTTTTAAATACACAGCTGCATTCACTACATCTGAATGTTTGAAATTCCTGTCCATCTTCAGGCAGTGTATGCACTCTCTGGAAAAAAAGGTCACAATTATAATGTACAAAGGTTTGAATAATATACGTGTATAACATGACTATGATATCATTTTTACTTTTCATATTGAATTTTCTAATTCTATATTGTAAAAGCTTTAATATGGCATTACCAGTTTTTTCTCTTGTATCCTAACTAAGAAAGTCAACCCACATATAAGAAAAAAATTAATGCTTTAAAATACTTTTTTTCTTACAAAATATAATTTTGATGCAGTCCAATGCTTATATGACAAAGTGCCTACAGTATTTTCTTTCAAAACAATGATGTACCATTGCAGTGGTATGTGACCCTATCTAATACAGGGATAAAATGCTAACCAGAATGTTACATAATAAAAGCATAAAATCAACTTTAAATGAATACATAAAACTTTCTCAATGAAAAACTCCTGATCAAACATTAAACATATATCGAATGTTTAGTCCTATTCAGGAAGCAATTGGTAAAGCATGTTGTACAGACCTTCATTTCTATAAAAAAAGAAAAAAAGATCTCTTGATTGAAAACAGAGATGACAATAATTGAAGTCATTAAAAATGTCAAAACTCATTTTGAAGCTTTTTTGGTTTAAAATACTTACCTTAATATGAGCTCTAAGATTTCCTTTCTGAGCAAATACATGAGGGCAGAAATCACACATGAAAGGTTTGTCTCCAGTATGTTTACTCATGTGTATACGGAGAGCCCCTTTCTGGTTAAATGCTCTGTTACATAAAGTACATTTATAAGGCCTTTCACCTGCAAAGAAAATACATATCATATAAATAAAATTGAGAATGGAAACAGGGAATGTGTCAAAGAGACAACAACTCAACCAAATAGCAGAAAATAGCCCAAGGGTCTTCAACACAGCAAGAAAGGCCATTCAACATAACTGCTTTTTCAGAGGATTCATTTCAAATTTCATTCAATGCTTTTTTATAAAACCATATCTTTATATATAGATACTGACACCTTGTTTTGAATCATATTTTGGTAAACACAGATTATATAGTCAACAAAGAAGCATGCAATTGTTGATTATGTACCAGAGTTTTTCATGATTAATGTGCCACATTTAATAACACAGTAATGTAAGTGCTTAAAACAAAGCAGTGCTAGTTGAAACGAAGCAAAAAAACAGAATTTTCTTCTGCCTGAAACAAATCTCTACATCATAGCAGTTTTCTGGTGTAAGGGCGGTAACTTTGATAATTTTTGGTACTATCTCTTAAGGTGTTCAACTTTGCTCTTTTCAAATGTTTTGTCAATTCTATATTGTTACCTACATGTTTCAGAAAGTCATCCTTTCATATAGTGAGAGGATATTCTAAGGACTAGTCTGAGATCATTTTCTATGTGGGTTTGCTGCCTTTATGACATTAACTACATACCCCCACCTCCTTTATCTCAAATATAAACAAATTATACAATTTATACAGAAAAGTTACCTACAGCTATTTCTTTTTTCACTTTTTTCTGTTCATAACAAAGTTATAACATTCTGTACAGATGTGCATTTCAACAATTAATGCCTGTGAATTGATGCTAAAGGCTTAAATATTTGAAAGGCCAAAACCTAGTAAAAACATTGATCAGATAAAACCACAAAGAACCAAATGTAAAGCCTAACCTAAACAAGGAACTAAGGGTTTTGCATGAGGACGATACATTCCTTAATCAAAGGCATTTTCCAAAATTTAATAACAGCAAATTTTAATACAACATGAACAATATCAGTTTTTAAATGCAGGTAAAAATATAGCTAATAAAAAATATCAGTTTTTAAATGCAGGTAAAAATACATAGCTAATAAGTTTCATCTTGTGCATCATCACTTCAAAAACAAGCATTATGAGAGTATTGCATGGCAATACATAGTCCCCTACCGGATAAAAATTCATTTTACTGGAACAAAATGCTAACTTGTTCTATAACTTGTCATGGTGTAAACAAAAGTAAATATCATGTCAATATCTTCAAGCATGACTAAAAATAGTGTGGAAAACTGATTATATGAGTGAAAAAAACATTAGAAATGATTAATAGTTCTCTAAAATTAGATATGATGTAATACAGTGTATATCTATTTTCAAATTATAATAAAATATAATTAATAGTTCCAAATATTTTTTCTGTCATTTGTCACAAACTAATATAGATTTGTAACTTATCTATAAAATGTCAACAACTTTTATCTACACAATGTAATGTATTAAAATATATACATTAATAAAAATAATTACAAACGAAAGTGAACCAACGCCTGGTGAGTCTGTAGTGAGTTAGAGTCCCTGAAGTGGATACCTCGGGTATGCAGGGTCGTTATGATGAAACACAATAATGTAGAAAGTCTTATAACAACAACACTGGAGGGACTGCTGCCACCGAAACATGTCGATCAATAAATTTTCTGCAGCAGTCCCTCCAGTGTTGTTGTTATAAGACTTTCTACATTAATAAAAATAGTTTATTATCTAATTAAAGGATTTCTCTTCATAATTTTTTTATATATATATAGCATTCAGAAAATTAGTTTATACTAAATAACAAACAAACCTGCCAAAAAATTCTTTAAATAATTTAACAAAGAATGTCGTTTAAAAAATGAGTTATCTCCCTTTGTACAGAAATATGGTTTAACATAGTACTCTAACATTAGATATTGTCCAGAGTTATGGTCCATAACTCTGGACTAAATCATCAGACCGGAACAAAATTCGAACTTGGTCTATAACTTGTCATGATAAAACTATATACCAAATATCAAATAAATATCTTCAAGAACGAAGAAAAAAAGTGTGGAAAGCTGATTTGCCGGACTGATGGATGGACAGACAGACGGAGTGCAAACCTAAAGTCCCCTTCGACTACATTAGTAGGGGACTAAAAATCATGTCAATCCTAAATATATGAAAACAAAATATGTCGAAGAAAAATATCAACCTTAGTAATAATTGACATCATTTGGTAGTGTTTGGCAAGTTTTGATATTACCTGTATGGATACGATTGTGTCTGACCAACTGACTAGGTTTCTGGAACATTTTTCCACAATGCTGACATTTGTAATGAAATGATGACCTATCAACATTTCTTTTGTAAGGTCTGTGTGTCAATGAGGCTCTGAAATGCATTCAAAAATTCTAACATCAAAATTGACAATTACAGGAGATTAAGTAAATTTTACTCATTGTAGTAAGTGATTTTTCACACTTAATGCTGGTGATTGTGGGTGATTCACTCTGAAATATCTCACTGTAAATGCAACAAAGCCTGTTGCAATAAAAACAATGCAAAAATTTTTTAATTTAAAGAAATACAAAATAAAATTCTCTTTTTAATAACAATGTTTTCTGCAGAAGAGGTTTATACCAAAATATGTAATATCTTATTTCCGTCTTTTATCCCTTATTTAACTATTGGTAAACATACCAAATGTAAGCCCAATACTCTGTTCTCACTATGTTCTATGTCCCATGAATTGTTTGAAGGAAAACTGTTTTATTGTTAACTTTCTATATAACGGTACAAATTGAATACAGGTAGTTTTTTCAGGCCGTACTAAAAAATAAATTGTCACAAATATGATGTTCATATACTCACTTAATTTTATAATGCTGTTTCATGTGTTCTCTTAGAAGAGCTGGTTTATTAAACTGCATATTACACTGTTTACATGGATAAGACTTCATTCCTGATTCTTCCTGTCTGTGTTCCAGTAAATGTTTGTTCAGTTGAGACTATTAAATACACAAGAGTTATCTCCCCATTAAAAAATTCTATTATTTTAATTGATGATTTTACTTCTTCAATCAAAGTTCTTCATTAGGCAGCATTAAGTTTGATGATTTTCAGATGTACACATGTATAATTGATAAGTAATAATTTTGTAGTATTTGTAAAAAGTCAAAGCAACTTAAACATGTTAAATGTAAGTTGAACAACACATTCTTTCTAAAAATCATCAGATTTATAATTTTTTTAATAGATTGTGTATTAAAAGAGTTTTGATTTTTTAATTTGTCATGCATATTACACAACAGAAGATAAAAAACGCAAAGGTATGCAAGAAACAGTTAGATATGAAAATATTTAAACAATGCCAGTTAAATATTTTTAGCTTTGTTATAGCATGATTGTTTGATTCTGAAAAATATTTCAGCTTTAAAATTTTTCTATGCATTCATATTTCACAATTTGAATGTATCCAGTATCGAGATATAATATATAGCTTGCAGTGCAAATTTCAATCATTTTAATGTATATAAGTAAAGGTGACCTATTCATAATAGTATTTTCAAAATATAGTTTTTTTAGAAAAATAAGATTTTCATTATTTTTATGAAAAAAGTTCAATGATTTTTTTGTTGTTGATACAACATGTTCATCATTTGAAGATAGTTGTTTGAAACAAATGTCTTTTCTGTTGTTTTAATGTATCCTGGATTGCTGTATCATTCACAGCTTAATAAATATGATTTTCAAAAAAAAAATTTTGTTATTTCCATAAATCGCAAACATTTTTTTACCTGCAAACCAAATTCGTCCCCACACTCAGTACACATCAATGTTTCCTCTTTTTCATGCAGCATAATGTGAGCTTTCAGACTAGCAATACGTGAGAATGTCTTGCCACATTCTGGACAGGTTGGTTCCCCATCAGGTGGCACATGGGTGGCCTGATGTAATTTGAGATTCTCTTCAATATTGAAGGAACTGCTGCATTGTGTGCAACGAAATGGCTTGTCTTCTTCATGGGTCTTTAGATGTCTTTGCAGCTGGTTCCATTTTGGGAATATTTTATCACATGACTCACATGGAAATGGGCCCTAAATATGAAAATACAAATACACATCATGTTTGTACTTTTTATAATTTTCACATTTAAAAATGTGTAGTAAATAATTTTAGCTAATCTTAAATGCTAGTGCATGTTATCAGAAATAAATACATCTCATTCACTCACTTCAACATGTTCAAAGATGAGTAAAACTCAGTTGAAGCTACACATCAACTGTAACTGTTAACCTTTCTCCCCCACCCTTGATTTTCATTCTGTGGTGAACCCTGGTTGTGTTAAAAAATTGCAATGAAACCCGCTTTAAAAGAATGGTAGTGCCAATGAAAATTGTTGTTTGACTCTGATAGGTACAATGTTCTAAGTTCATACAGATAAAAGAGGGACGAAAGATACCAGAGGGACAGTCAAACTCATAGATCGAAAACAAACTGACAAGGCCATGGCCAAAAATAAAAAGACAAACAGACAAATAATAGTACAGATGACACAACATAGAAAACATAAGACTAAGCAACACGAACCCCACCAAAAACTGGGGGTGATCTCAGGTGCTCCGGAAGGGTAAGCAGATCCTGCTCCACATACGGCACCTGTCATGTTGCTTATGTTATTACAAATCCAGTAAATAGTCTAATTCGGTAGGTCACATTCGTGAAAAGGGAAGGGTATTGTTGTTACAACATAAGGAACATAAATTACCTTAAAAGAATCCTCATTGCATTTCATCCAAAAGCAGTACAGTTTTTTTCTTGATTTATATGATTCTTTTTTAACATGTTTCACTATTCATAACTTATTGTACATGTTGTACATGTGTTGTATGGACTTGTCTTTTTCAATTATACAAATACATCATCATGATCATGAAAGTGTAATTTCAGTACAGTTTCATTATTCAAGGTTATGCCAAGTTACACTTTAATTTGTATACATGTACCTTTCCAACAGGAGGTTTGATCTCTGCCTTTTTTGGTTCAATAATCTGTATCGGCTGCTGTTGTTGTTGTTGTTGAAGGGGAGGTAAAAATTCCAAAGTTTGAATCTGGGTCCCTTCTGGTAACTGTTCAAACACCACATGTTCAACATGGAGTTGCTGTGGATCAAAGTTGGCTAATGTGATTTGATTTGGGTCTATGTTTTCCTGTTGGTTGGGGTCTCCATGTTGTTCTACAAATGCAACAATTTCTCCAGTTTCAGACACATGAGCTACATGTGCTATGGTGGCTTGGCTAAGAAACTGTGCATAATCAACTGAAAAAAAAAACAATAAAAATATGGTACTTATTCTACAAGTTTGAATCTAGTTCAACTTCTTTTAATTTTAAAGATTTAAGTATTTCTGCCATTTAGTACTTCTGATAACAAAAAATTAGTTCAGTAATTTGGTATCCAACTATGGTTAGAATTCTGACCATAAGATTTGTTCTTTTTTTGTGGCACAATAAGTTATACCAAAGAAAAGACTTTTAACAATGTTTAATAACTATTAGGGATACTGGGTCACTTAGTCAAAATATTGTGACACTTGACTAGTTAGACACTTAATGTACTGAATTCATACAACAATCAATTTTCCATGAAGCTATTAAAAATTTTCTCTTCTGATGTCAAAATTTAAGGAAAAAAGTAGTTGATGACCAGTTATGAATGGCTGACAAATTTGGTGTACACAAAGGGTCCACATGTAGTTATGTACACGACACATTTGATATAGATCGAGGCATATATCATGTATATACATAATATATTTACATGGATCTTAATCTGTAACACTTATTAGTATTTGTATTTGTCTTCTTTTAATCATACTGACCACTTATTGTAACAGATAATTTCTTTTAATTAATTTTGTATACCTAATCATTTATTTTTGGCATTAGACAAGACCTGTTTTCTTCCTGAATGGTTTAAGGTGCAGCGATATTAAATCTACTCTGAACTCCATTTATCAAGTATTTGAGTAAAGGATGGGATAATTTTCAGATCAGAATTTTAAACACTTTGATTGATTGGTGTAGGAAACTGGAGTGCCCAGAGAGAACCACCAACCTTCTGCAGAAAAACCGACAATCATGCCACATGTTGGGTTGGCACTCACAACCTCAGTGTTGACAGGCTAGAAATACAGTAGTTGGACAACTAAGATCACTTAGCCACCAAACTTTTAGCTTGCTTTCAATGAATGCAAGCATTCTATGAAACTGTACTAGTGTATTATTGTTTTGAAAAAAAAACATGTGTTTTCATACTGTTATCATAGAGCTAAGTGATTTTCCTGGACACATTTTGTGACATATATTTGTTATACCTTCTTCACTTGTTATTCCACTTATATATTATCTTGATTTAAATGGATTGAGATAAAAAGAAATCAAACAAAAAACAGCATAAACCTTCAATGTTCATATGCCTGTCCCAATTTAGGAAAATTTGACCATATAAGCCTTTCAACCTGATGAAGACCTACCAATACCTTGAGGATTCAGGTGAAACACCCTTAAGTCAATGTTGTAATGCAGAAGACTTTCTGACGTTATGAAACATTTGTTTGTAAAATGAAATCACACATAAAAACAGCCCATCTTGGAACTTAAGTATTGATTTGTCCACTACAGTTTCTTTTTCGTGATTCTAGTCAAATATAGTTTTCATAGAGAACGAGTTAGAATATAAATGACAAATCTGTTAAATTTCAGCTTTGAGAATTGAGAGCTTGGCATATTTTGCCTATACTAGTCTATTATTGATGACTGTATGTTGACATCCAAGATTCATATTGGTTGATTTCTTATGTTGGGGTGGCTGTCTTGTTGATTTATATACCCCACATCTCCTTTTAAAAGAGAGTTATAAAGAGACGACTTTCACATTCTTGCTTTTTTGTGTACATTTCTGCAATGTTACATGTTCAATGCTTATAAATATTATTACTTCTCATTGAGAGTCAATTGTTTAATGACATCATTTGACATTGGGTCAACCAATTTCAACTATTTTATTCTAATGGAGTAATGAACTTAAAATTGGGTCTATTTCACTGTTCCGCAAGGGGAATGGGACAATAAAAAACTGTACGATTCAAAGTACTATCTATATGGAATTAAATGGTTTGTAATTTTATATGTCACTTGCCTTATGCAAATTAAGGAGTTTCTGTTTAGCAGTCTTTATCTGAATCTTATCTATTTTCTTCTGTACAATTCAAAGTACTATCTATATGGAATTAAATGGTTTGTAATTTTATCTGTCACTTGCCTTATTCAAATTAAGGAGCTTCTGTTTAGATAAATTAGAAGTCTTTATCTATTTTCTTAAATAGAAGTGTTATGTGAAGACTTAAACAGTACGTTCACACTATTTTGACACTAACCCTAAGACTAAGTGTAAAATAGGCATCCCAAGACGAAACTGGGAACAACATTATGAAACAGTAGACTTCTGCAAGACATGATCATGTAAACAAAATTGAACAAAAATTGTGAAAGGCTAAATTGAGTTTTTAGTCCAACTCCGGTAAACAGAAAGTAAAAGTAGGCGGACGCAAGAGACGAAATTTGACTAAAAAAATGGACACAAGTTGTAATAAGCCTAAGAGACAGCCAGAAAATGCATTTTGGTTTTAGCTATCAAGACTGTAGTAATAAATGAAACGCACGAAATATCTCCTAAAGTTTCCACATGAAAAAAAACATTTTTACAATTAACAAGTTTTAATGTCAATATTTCTACGCGTCTTGAGTAGGAATATTGTCAAGTTCAAGTTCTCGAACAGATCATTGCGCCCAAATGTCCGGACAATGAACGCAGTGCACTATCTGGCCACAAAAGCAGCATTACTACCGACTTAACTCGATTAAACATAGGGTTAAAGAATTTTTATTCTTGTTTGTAATATATTCTCAGTATCAAACCTCACCACCAATGTTCTCTAGCTGTATTTGAGTTGTATTTGGCTCTTCAAGGGACATATTTTGACAAAAATTAATCCAAAATGGCGGTGATATGTTCAGCCATAGAAACGAGGCTAATTGGAAAATTACCCGGATGGCAAGTGCGTTTGGCGCAAAAGTTCAAATTTTTATTTATTTTTTTAGTTTTTTACTGGCTTTTGAGAAAAGAACCATTCACATCAAACATATTTTGTCCCCCCTTCCAAAACATCTTGTCATTTTACAGTTCTAATCTCTTTTTATATATTCAATCTTTTTTTGTATTTACTATTCTTAATATATTTCAATTGACAGAGCATGCTCCAAGTATTCATTATATTGTATGTCAACATTCTTTTGGAGACAGATTAAAATAAGCAATGTTGCTTGTTTCTGAATCCCATTGTTTATACTGTATTATATTATATAGCATGATTTGACTTATCGAATAAAATATTGTTTAAACCAATCTCTTTTTGGACAATAATGATTTCATTAAGTATCATTTGTCTGTTCCTACCACAGGCGGTTGTCTCTGAATTTTTTTCTACCAAAGAAAAGGTAAAAAAAAACCTGAGACAACTGCCTGTGAGCAGTCTGAATGAAAATAATTACCCCTTACTACTAAAAAGTAAAATAACAAAAATACCGACCTCCAAGGAAAATTAAAAAATGGAAAGTTCCTAATTACCAAACGGCAAAATCAAAAGCTAAAACACAAAAAACTAAAAAAAAATTTGGGGTATAATTTTATAATTTGAGGCCCGAGAGGCATATAGAATAGAATATCTTTTGTGTCCATAAGAGGTACCCTCAAGGGGCAAAGTGCATATACATATGTGACAATCGAAGTTACAATTACAAATATAGTCCTTCAATTCAATATTCTCGATTTTTTTTTTTTGCCATTTTCTCTATTCTTTATAAATTTTGCCCTCTATTCTCCATTCTTTATATTTTAGAACCACAGGCACTTGTCTCAGAAAAAAATTTCCTATATACCTTAATGTTAATGTTATATTAAGGTATATAGGATTTTTTTTTCTGAGACATGTGCCTGTGTTTCGAGAACCCGATTATTCTCTTTTCCCAGTTTATTTTTGTAGACGTTTATTCTGCACCTTTTGCCCATTTTTCTCTCAATGATTCTGTATACCCCACCAAACCCTCGTACATATTCCTGGTATTATTAGGTTTCTATTCAACTCGAAGATTTATTCAAAAGTCAATATTTAGCAAACAGACTACATTAACCGAAAAGCCCTCGCGTGCTTTTTCAACTCGACTAACTATAACAATATATAAACACACACACACACACACACACACACACATATGATATACAAAAGTCACGAAGACAACACAATTTCAAACATATTATGCATGGTAAGATAATAAAGATGTCGAATAAAAGTTAAAATGCCTATATATAGATAGTTTAAGTCAGTCAGATTTTAGAAAACTGCATACAGATTGAAATTTATTTTAAAACACAACATATTAAAGTTAGAAAATTAAGCACATATGAAAAATTAAATAGTAGAAAGCAATCTATTAAAACATAAGATAATTAAAAAAAATGCAAGCATTAAAGCAATCAGTTATGCATGCAATGCACCGGCACCAGGGGCGGATCCATCCATTTCTAAAAGGGGGGTGGGGGGGGGGGGGGTTCCAACCATATGTCCCCATTAAAAAGCATTGATCGTCAAAAAAGGGGGGTTCCAATCCCCGGAACACCCCAGCCCCCTTAACCCCCCCCCCCCTTTTGGATCCGCCACAGGACACGATCTGGATTTGGATCCTATGTTTGTTCCAGTTTAAATTGGTCAAAAGATGTTTCAACGCGACAGTGCACTATTTAGGTAGCGGCCATTCCAGATTTTGTGCAGCATTAAAATGAAACCATGACGGACCATGACGTTCGGGAGTACTGCTGTTTCCTCAGTACGTGTGATGTAAAATTATGATTCAGAACTTTAAAATAGAATTATATCAATTTAATCAAGGATTTTATGTAAATAGCAGTGCCGAATAACTAGTGGAAAATAGTAAAAAAATTTGATAGAATGAATGAATAGTATTTAATAAGTCTCTTTCTAATATGACGTTCTTCAAACGCTTTGAGTACACCACACCCGTGGTCAAATTCAAATATATTCATATGTCAGCTGATAGTTAACGTCATGATTTGTTTGGGCTGTTCCAATCCTACTCCCACGTCGTATGCTTTTTATGAATGATTTACCTCACGTCAGATGGTGTAAATGACATCATTGAACGATGACGTAAGGATGTAAGGATTTTACGGGAAAATGCACGAATGGGAAACTGAGAGTCATCAAAGCATGAAAACATAAACAAACGATAGTAAGAATTTGTGTAATGTCCATATCTTCTTAAATGCGGAGAGTAAGATAGTCAATTAAATTCATCCAAAACTGTCTTAGTATGTTATTATTGTATATCGTTTAAGATTAAAGAATGTCACCTAATTAATCAATTTTCTTCGCTCGTTTACGTCAATATTATTAATGTTTTCAATTTCGGGAACAGCAAACATTTCCCTTCACATAGAGCGCTTCGATCCAAAAGAATTGCTGCCTTTGTCCTATTAGAATAGAAATAATTCATGGGGGCTTGAATTAATATTGATTTTACCACCGGTTGGCACTTTATGCTGATATTTTACCCCTCGCTATCGCTCGTGGTATTGAGGCATTTATCGTCCAGCGGCGAATATACTACTTTCCACTACCGTGGACTAAAACTCCGCTCCGTTAGAAGCGATAAGTAAACACGACAGGCGTAGTAATTAAGTGGATGGGGCGTATGGTAACGAGCTTAGCCGTTTTATCTTCATTCGTCACACCGTATTTCTTAGCTAACCTTTTATTCATAAAAAAGAAAAAAAGAAAAAAAAAAGAAAGTGTGATGATTACCGGACTCAGTTCCTGATACTTCAGATAACAGGGAACTATGTCACTCGAGGATTTTCCACTTGATTCAATGATTGGTGTCATCCCATAGCTCTTTGCCGACAATAAGGTGCAATTTTAGGAACTTAGGGAACGACCATTTGGTTTTGGGAGAGTGGGAAGGGGATGTCGTGATGATTTTGAGCAGACGAAATATTAATCTTAATTAATTGCTTGTTGCAAGAAATATTTTTCACTTTTGCACACAATGATTTCCTGCATACTGTGTGGGTGTCAGGTAAAAAAGTATTGTGTGTGACCTTACAGTATATTGTTGGAGACTGCATTTTGCCCTCTAAATGGCTTAGTTATTTCTATTATTGTCTTGATGTGTCATTTATACATTGACATTTACCTCACATCTTCCGTTTTTTTTAACATACTCTTCAACACAGTAGCCATGTTTCTATACATTATGTCATGCTCTTAATCTATAGAAGTTGTCACGGAAAGTAATTGAAGTATCGGGTTTGTACTTACATGAGCAAGGCGACAAGTGCCACATGTGGAGCAGGATATGCTTACCCTTACGGAGAACCTGAAATCACCCCCGGTTTTTTTTGTGGGGTTCATGTTGCTCGGTTTTCTGTGTTTTGTTTTGTATACTGTTGTTTGTCTTTTGGTCTGTTTCTTTTTTTGCTATGGCGTTGTCAGTTTGTTTTCGACTTATGAGTTTTAATATCCATTTGGTATCCTTCGCCTCTCTCTTTAACAGAAACAATAAAAGATCTGCCATCAATAAAAAATATATTATGTTTTTTTTTTAAATCCGAAATTATGGACAATTTCAGCATTAACTCCAACTAAGCAAGAAAGAGTTCATTGAAGATATCTTTCTAATGACTTCTTGTAAATCTTGCATTGCAGGTCATCACTGTTGTTGACATTTCTGTCTGTCAATAATAGATTTCAAGATATCAGGTAAAAATGTTAGAACTTCGTCACCGAAGAGCAATGACTCCTATCAGGCGTCAATTGATGGTCTCAGCCACAGTGGCTTTTAGTAGATTACTGATCAGTTTAGCGGTTAAGAGTTTCTGCCTATCTATTAAGTTTTCGAGATACTAGTAATAGGCAAAATATAGCAGAAACCGTAAATTGACCTTTAATTTGAGTTATTGAAAGGATTTTTTATCAGCAAAATTGATCATCAATGAAGTGGAAACATGACTGAAGTAGATATAAGAAGATGTGGTATGAGTGCCAATGAGGCAACTCTCCATCCAAGTCAAAATTTATAAAAGTAATTTAACCATTATAGGTCAAAGTACGGTCTTCAACACGGAGCCTTGGCTAACACCGAACAGAAAGCTATAAAGGGCCCCAAAAATTACTAGTGTAAAACCATTCAAACGGGAGAAGACATTTATTTATGCCTTATAGATAGAGGTAGAGATAGAGATATATTTTATTACCAATTAAGGGCCCACAAGGGGCATACAGAGAATACATGTATAAGGAAAAAGATTATTGATTGGCATAGATACATAGAATTTAAATAAACAATTACAATACAATTAGACTGTAAAAAAGCCCTTGGTTTAAAGTATATATTTTATGAGTCATTCCATTAAACCATGATTTTGAATTTCACCCATTTTAGTGTTTCCTTCTATCTTAAAACTATTAGAGAAACTAGTGACAGCAAAAATTATCATCAAAATTAAACTCCTTCTAAATGCCTATGTAACTGAAACCATTTAAAAGCAAAAATGTTAAAATTACGATTCGGTCCCAGTGCTTAAAATCCCTCGATCCTTTATGTGTTGATTTGGCATACATAAATAAAATACAAAAACAAGTAAGCAGTGAACGAGGTTGTTAAATGTGATATATGCTTCTTTGTTAAATATTTGTTTGTTTTTGTTGTGATTAAGATTGTGACACGGTGTTGACTGCTGTACCTCTATTTTGACATTTTTACCTTTTATGTCGTTTGTTTTATTCACGCATCGTTGTCAATATAATGGAATCTGATGCGACTGTCATACAAGTGAGAGGTTTAGCGCTATAAAACCAGGTTCAATCCACCATTTTCTACATAAGAAAATGCCTGTACCAAGTCAGGAACATGACAGTTGTTGTCCATTCGTTTGATGTGTTTGTGCTTTTGATTTTGCCATTTGATTAGGGACTTTTCGTTTTGAATTTTCCTCGGAGTATTTTTGTGATTTAACTTTTTTTATCAACCCTCTATTGAATATTTTGCTCATTTTACCTTGTGTGTTAATTATTCAAAAATCTATTACAAATAGACACTAACTACATGTAAACAGCGAAAAAATCAACAAGACAAGATCTACAGCTGAAAAGGAAATATGATTGACTTCATTTAGGAGGAAATACAATTGACGATTTTTGACACATTTTAGTATTTTTGCTTTTCAAAATCTTGGAAAGTGCTATAGATAGAATGAAAATGTCATCAGTTTAAATGTTCAGCAATGCTAGATCTACTACAAATTGCCACCATGGCAGACACCATTTATTGACCCCTTACAGGATTTATTGGCATTCAGTGTTGATTTTTGACATATTTGAACTTTTTTACCTTTATCTTGAAAACTATAAGGGATAGAAAGAAAATGTAAGTAGCAAAAATGATCAGCAATACAAGATCTACAGAAATGCTATTTGACCAAACTATTATACGAGTTATAGCCCTTTAATGAAGATTCTTTACCATTCTAGCAATTCTGACTGTTATCTCGAAAATCATCATAGATAGTCTGAAAAAATGTCCAGCAATATCTAAAATTATACAAATATGACTGAATCCACCAATTGAATCCTTACAGGAGTAGTTGATCTTTTATGAAGATGATTGTTATTTTTTTTCAAATTTTTTCTGTTATCTTGAAAACTACAAAAGATATAACAGAAATTAAAAAAAAGCACAATTTTCAACCGTGCAAGATTTACCAAAAAATCTTAATGACTGAAACCGTTGTTTGACTCCTTTTAGCAGTATTTACCATTAAATGATGATGCTGTAAATATGTATTTTATTTTCATATTTACAAAATATGAAATAAGTCATACCTTTACCAGATTATCAGTGACTTAATAAGAGACTGTGTTGTTCTTTGTTATATTTCAGAGAATTCCGATGTCGGTGATACTGGTGTGGCCTGTTTTACTTTCCAAGACCAATATTTTTAGTGATTCCTGTTAATTAGTCAATTTAGGGCTAACCATAAGATATGAACACTTTCTTATTGTAACTTATTAACATCTGTTGTTTTTTTTGTTTTTTTGTGTTGCCTGAACTGCTGGTTTTGTACTTATTGGCATTTATGCCACATTTCCTTTTTTCATTTCACAATACACAAGGGTCTGGATGGGGTCTACAGATTTGAGAATAATGGGCCAAAAATATGAAAGAATCAAGAAAACTGGACTAAAAAATAAAGAATAGAGAACAATACTCTGTGTTAAAATATAAAAAAATATATAGAGAAAATGGACTAAAAGAGAAGAGAAAAATGCCTTGAAAAATAAAGAAGACAGAAAGAAGACCATCACAACCTGTGAATTATTGAGTTCCCAAAAATGAATTCATTGTTTTATAATTATAAGGAGCAGATGTAACCTTCAACTAATTAAAGTGCTCATGCAATATGTATATTCCTCAATTTTTTCCCCCCTATGAAATGGAAGTCCGCTTTATAAATATAGTTATTTTCCAATATGCCATTGAATTGATGTTTCATTTCCTTCCAACTCATACCCATTCTTTTGCTATTGAGTACAGTGTGCTTCTAAATTTGAACAAGAATCAGTAATATTAATAAAATTGAGAATGGAAACAGGGAATGTGTCAAAGAGACAACACCCCACTGAAGAGCAGAAAACAGTCCACCAATGGATCTTCAACACAGTGAGAAAATCCCGCACCGGAGGCGGGCTTCAGCTAGCCCCTAAACAAGAATGTGTACTAGTTCAGTGAAAATGGACGTCGCACTAAACTCCAAAACATATAATAGAACTAAAATTAAAAAAAAACATACAAGACTAACAAAGGCCAGAGGCTCCTGACTTGGGACAGGCGCAAAAATGCGGCAGGGTTAAACATGTTTTGTGAGATCTCAACCCTCCCCTATACCTCTAGCCAATGTAGAATAAACAAACACACAGTAATATGCACAAAACTCAGTTTAAAAGAAGTCGGAGTCCAAAGTCAGAATAGGTAAAAGATGAAACTAAGCAAAATGACAATGATACATAAATTACAAAGGACTACTAACAGTTACTGACATACCAGTTCCAGACCTTAATTAAACTGATTGAAAGATTATGTCTTCATCATATGAAAATCAAGCACAATCCCTCCTGTTAGGGGTTTAGTATCATACCATCATAAAATATATGAGAAGAACATAACCCATATCATGCCAACAACTGGTTTTAGAATAAATGTGTTTATTTCCGATGCAAAGACCCTATATATGAGTGAATCAATATTAGTTCCAAAAAATGCCATCTTTAATGACCTGACAGCAGTATCGTAACTATATCCCTTCTGAATACATCTGTTCAAATGTTTGGTTAGCTTTTGAGGTAAATGACGACGTTTTTGTGCTTTGTATAGAATATTACCATAAAAGATGGGATGTGAAATACCTGAACGTATAAGATGTCTGCACGTTGATTTATATTTACAAATGATGTCCTTGTACTGATGATAAAATTTAGTTAGTTTTTTGACAAGTTTGTGATATCGAAATCCCTGGTGTAATAATTTTTCAGTAATACAGTGATTTCTTTTTTTAAAATCAAATACATTGTTACATAAAACCTGTTACACATTTTCTTGTAATCAGTCAAATACACAGTGAAAACTTTCTATACCAAACCAAACCCTTAAGGACCCTAGTACTTTTTAAGTTTAGAAATGTATTTGAATAAAGAGATTCAAATTAAATTGATGTTGGTATATAGGGACTCAGAAGCAAGTCTGGATTAAACAGATTTACTGTTTAGTCAAGGTTCTGTTAACACAGGTAAGGTTTCACTGTATTTTCTATTTTAGTTCAATTGCTTTGAAAATTGATCGAGTTCCACAACTTTTCACTTTTTTTTTTCAAAAAGCTTTTTATTGAAAAAAAAAATACAAGACAACTACATTTAAGCAGTTGCAGGAAAATGCGTAAAAGGCTGGTGTGCTTTTGGTTAAATGTACCTTTCTCTAATTATCTGCCATGTTTAACTGCCTAACCTGTAAAACTGGAATAATGTCAGATGATTATTTGTATATTTTAAATTTTATTGCACTTGCCATATTCAATAAGAATAATTTCTCTCTTTTTAACTGTAAATTGAGTAAAATGAAACCAATGCATACATACAAATAATTTTGCTTCCTTTAAAATAATTTTTTAATTTTATCTCCTTAAATATTTTCTAGCTGATGAGCTACATCAGACTTTTTATTTTGTATTTTAACAGTTTTTGATTTCTTTGCACTTGAAGTTCTTTTATGCTTTTTTCCATTTTCTTCTGATTTCCTACAAGATTGTTCACACATCTGCTGTCTCTGAGAATTTTGATCACTTTGCTCTGATTCCAGATCACCGTTGAGATCCAATTTTGATTTGATTTCATTTTCGTCATCACTTTCACTTTCAATATTATCACCTGAATCTGTGTCCGACTCTGATGATACTTCTATTGGCGGACAGTGAGGAACTGAACACAAAGACGGACAATCAAATGGACATTCACGAACATCCAATGGTTTTTTGACAAAATATTGATCCTTTATATATTCGTTATAATGCAAATATTCTTTCAACTTATCAGGAATGGGTAACTCATGGATTTTATTTTTTGGATGTCTTCCCAAATATCCATATATTTGAGCTCGACAATGAAACATTAGTGGTCTTACTTTCCGAGATTCTTTTTTAAGCCATTCAAAGATGTCAGGTCTGTGATATATTGAAACTGGCCAATCTTCCTTGGTAATCCAAGGCTCATTTAAATACACTGGTCTTAAAGCTATCATAAACTTAACAAGTTTAATCAATTTCTCATTGACGGCCAACCAAAAGTATGATGGTCCTTTCTCCTTTTTAATACTACATCCATAATGTAATAAAGTCATTGCACAATTATCAGCATGCATAAAAATAGCCTGCTGAAGAGGGGTCTCTTTCCATTTAAATTTCTTGTCCATTTTATACCCGTAATCTAGAAGAATTCTAACCATGGCAGGATTATGATTTTCTATTGCAACTGCTAAAGCAGTAACCCCTGAGTTTGTCCTGGCATGTAATTTAGCACCATGTTCTAAAAGAACTTCACATATATCATAGCGTTTGTATGCAACTGCATAATGTAGAGCTGTTAGTCCATTTTCAGACTTGGACTTCATTTTCGCTAAAGAATTTAGAAGAAGTTGTACAATTTCCCTATTATCTTGCTGAATAGCTCTGAAAAATAAATGTCAATGATCAATAGTAAGTATTCATTTCAGAAATGAAAAATATTTATTCAAATTACTGTGATTAAAAGGGGGAGCACAGAGATCTCAGAATTTAGTTTTGTAGCACTGCATGTTCATGTGTCAGTCCCACGTCAAGAACGTCATGGTGTCTTTTGTTATATTTAAATGTTTTTTTCGTCTTTTAGGGATTTTGATTTTGATGGCAGATTTTTTTGTTAAATATATTCTGATCATATATTTTCAATAATGGGAGATTTAGAGCTTGTTTGTTGGCAAGCATACATTAACCTCTGTTGGATTGCTTTCTGATTGATGTACATGTATTGCTTCACATCTCCTTTTATTCATATTCATTGAAGCATGACTAAGGGGACTGAGTTTATTATTTCCTAAAGATGCTAACTAAACAGCATAAAATATTTCAATAGCATCACAAAAACTGGTACTTTTTTTTATTACCATACCTAATCAGAAAACTTAGCATTTTTAAAAAGTATTCTGAGGCATAACTGAATGGACCTGGTCTCAGATGCAGATCCAAGAATTTGAAAATTAGGGGCCTGCCAACAAGTCAATATGTTAGGAGTGGGACTTGTAAACAGTTTATGCATTAACCATATATGTAACTCCATAAGGGAACCCCTTATTCCACTGGTAGGTATCATGTAATATTGCTCAAGACTGAGATTTTTTGCCATGGATGCTTAAGAAGCATTAATCTTATTTTGAAATGGACCAAATGACAGAAAAAAGGGCTTGAAGCAGTCTTTTCCCAAAAAGCAATGTTATGATTCAAGACAATCATCACAATCATGACACAAAAGTCATCATTTTACCATTCTTAACGGTATCTATCAAAATAAATCAAATGTTGGGTAAAATGACCAGGATGTATTGAAGATATAATATCTTATCTTCTTCTTAGCAACCCACAGTGGTTTTGATTCAAAACACTTTTGTAATAATTAGTTTTTTTGCAATACTGAACTTATTCTCTTGGAATACAACAATGTACTAATTTGAATTGGTATATTTGAGTGTGCTTAAGTTTTGAATATTAAATGTATTTAATACATTTCAATAACTGTACAATTTTATCCTGTAAACATTTTATATAAAAATCTGTGTGAAAAAAATGGAGTTATCTCCCATGCAATGCAGAAACAAAAGTTAAAAATTTTTTCTAAAAGAATGAAGTTATTACAAACCAAATCTTTTGTTTTCTTCTTTCTTATATTTTGTTTTGATATAATGAATATATGTTTTCCTCTAATATTTGAATTTTTCATATCAAAAATTTTACTTTGTCAATGGAGTATCAGGGCCATTCTCCTGACCAAGTTTCCTCATGTTCACATCTGCCCTAGCATGTATCAAAATTCTGGCCACATCTACACAACTACTTATCACTGCTTCAAAAAGTGGACTTGTACCTGAAAAATTTATAAATACATTCAATTCATAAGTATTATGAGTCATCAAAAATTGTATGTCAGTCTCATATTCTTGATTTCTACAAAAATAAAATATATCAAGCTACATATTGATAGATGATATTTAAAATACATCCTTAATCAAAGAACAATACAGTAAAAGAGTAATACACATGTATACAGAATTTAAAGAATCATTGCTGACTTCAAATTATTTAGGCCAAAATGAAAGGACATGAACAACATAGTCTTGCCTCCATTGTCTCTGCTTTTTTTTTTTTACTCAGAGGTGATTATTGCTTAAATATATTATAGTATGTATTTTTATGCCCCACCTATGATAGTAGTAGGGGCATTATGTTTTCTGGTCTGTGCGTCCATTCGTTCTTTCGTCTGTTTGTCCGTCCGTCTGTCCCGCTTCAGGTTAAAGTTTTTGGTCAAGGTAGTTTTTGATGAAGTTGAAGTCCAATCAACTTGAAACTTAGTACACATGTTCCCTATGATACGATCTTTCTAATTTTGCCAAATTAGAGTTTTGACCCCAATTTCAGAGTCCGCAAAACATAGAAAATGATAGTGCGAGTGGGGCATCCGTGTACTATGGACACATTCTTGTTATTACTTAATACTGATTTTATTAACACCATCTCAGTAGTCAGCTCTTCTAATTTGACATTAAATATCATTGATACATCCATTTTCTGTAAATTAACTGATTATAAAATGTTGAATTTTACAAAATACCAAGGTTTTTCTGCCCACAGGTATAGATAGCCTAAGACGTATTTGGCACATCTTTATTCAGAATACCGAATTTGTTTTTCAGTGCTCTTCAACTTTATATTGGATTTGACCTTTCAACTACTTTGTTTAGTTTGCCACTGATGAGTCTTATGTAGACAAAATTTCCATCTGGGGTACTAGATCATAAGCCTGGTATCCTTGATTAGTTATTTTTATCATCAGATTCCAATAAGGTACTTCCAAGACTCTTTGAATTATGTTTCCCGTAAAACTTATAGGATGTTGTCTCATTAGCATGCACCCAATTTTTTTATCTTTCTCTCCTCTATCCAAATTTCCTGTCCAACTCAGAACATGAGGTTGCTGTGTAGGATGTTCAATACCCCCAAATAGACATTTTTGAAGTGAAGGCATGAGTTGTCATGGTAACCTACCTTTTTCCCTGTCAGTAAAATTCACTTGACATTCCTGGTTACCTTCAACCAAAAGCTCCATTATTTCTGTATTTTTATTCCTTGCTGCTATCCTGAAAGAGAAAAGCTAAATGAAATCTTTCATGGAGATTCAAACAGATTTGAAATTTTCTTTTTTTTGTCCTTTTCAATGAAAAAGTAAACACAATTACTGTGAATTCATTATTATTCGTTGGATACCAATTTTTGTGGATTTCGTGGTTATAGGTTAACCACGAAATCAAAAGTTCAACGAATGGCAAATTTACTATAGGCTTGTATGCAGACATTGTCAAAAACCACTAAATTAAATATCCACGAACATGTAAGGTTTCCTTAATCCACGAAAATTGGTACCCACGAAAATAAATGAATCCACAGTACACACAATTCAAGCATGTATATAGTTTACTTGACGATTTACTGGAACTTGGCATATTGTATAGGCAGCGGTCTATATTGTTGAAGGCTGTGTGTTGATATTTTTTGGCTATTCTAGTTGTTGGGCTGCTTTCTCATTGATTTATGCCTCACAATATTTATAATCTCCATAGAAACAGGTTCAAGTTACTACAACACTTATTTTTATTTTCCGCTGACAATTTTTAACTGTCTTTCATGAAAAATACCTTGAAGTTGGCTTTACCTTTTGTATTTATCAACTCTTCAATGTTTGAATTATGTTTTTAAAATATTTTGGCATTAGCGTCATTGAAGAGACATTATTGGTCGAAATTCCCATCTGGTGCAGTAAAATTGGTACCCATAACATTATTGTTAGATGTTAAATTTTGTCCAGTACTTTGGCAGTTTATATAATAAATTAACAACTCTGTTAAAACTTATTGTACTCTGATTTTCAATGCCAAATTATGAAAAATGAATCTGTAAATATTCTTTTTTTATTAATTTCAAACAGCATAAGAATACCATAACTTAAAGTCGTCATGTTGCATCACTATTGGTCGGGACTCAGTGATAATAAACAATATATAAACCATTACATGTAACCACAAATTTATATTCGTGAATTTACTCAATGCTGTCATGGCTGTGTACATTTTAAATGGATAAATACAAGTTAGTTATCGTACATATGTAAATATTAACTTCATTGTTTAGCAAGTTGTTAGTTCAACTAAATTATGTTTATTGCAGATTTTAATCTTGTAATTTTCTTTGATATTCATTTCTTGATATTGTAAACTTTTAATGACTTTCATGTTTGTTCTACCAACTTCCAAATTTCATTACATGTAAAATCAAGAAATCAAAATAACCAACTTATATTTAGTTATATTTTTATATTTGTTACAGTTTGAAACATAAAACAGTTTTGATATTAATTCTAGATAAAACAAAATGCTGCAATACATAAATGTAGAATTAGATACTCTTTAATGTCAAATAAGTAGCACACATTGAAAAAAAGTTTACTGTATGGATATGGTGTTTTGACAACCTCTCATCTCCACTTTTTAAAAGGCAACATTTTAAAAATGCAGGTGAAAGAACTTTAAAACTATATAATAGAACTTCAAAGTCCCCTTAAAAAGCTTTTAAAGTGCCAAATCAAATGACCAGTAACAGTTAAAGTTTTTTTTTGGGGGGAAGGGGGCGGGGGTGCTACTAAATAAAATTTTAAAGGGTAAAAAAACATTTTTACCTCATACCTTTACTTCAAACACCCTCCTCCCTACCCCTACCATTCCAAACCACTTTTCTTTGTTCTGTGGGTGAGTGAACAGAATATTTCTATTTATAAAGTAAAATTCTGTTAATAAAATGTGACTAAGTTATTTGAGTGAGCCTGTTAAAAATAAGTATTGCTGCATATACAAAATGTATTACCAAACAGGTCTTCTTCCATGTAAATTTTCATCATTTACATTTGCAGGATGGCGCTTGGTACTGACCAACAATTTTACCATTTCAGTATCATCGAGTTCCGTTGCAAGAATCAAGGGTGTCGGAAACAATGGATCATCAACATCCCTTCCATTTTTATCACAGTCTTTTGACTTAATTAATTTCTTAACTTTAACATATTCCTTCTGACGAATGCATTCGAATAACTCAGCAGTTTGTTCACTAATTGGTGGATAGTTCTTAACCAATGCTCTTATTTCTGGATTGACCATTTGGATGCTGAGTGCAAATTTTGTTTGTTCGTCGATTTTGTTTTTCTTTAATCCATTTTTGGTCTTTCTTGCTAATTTACTTGATTTTGGGCGAGTTCCTCTAGCAGATGGAGTTCTTTCATTTTCTATGTGCCTAAAAAGATAAAAATAAAAAAAATGTTACAATATACTCTCCTACCAGTACTAATAAAGTCCTTATAGAAAAGAAAGTTAAAGCTAACAAATGTGAAATATTTGGTTATCTGTCCATTTAATATGGAGAAATTAAAGAGAATAAGATAATGAGACAAAAAAAAAAACAACTGGAAATTTTTTTTTTTAAATACATCTAAATTCATCCATCTAAATTACCCAAAGTATAAATTAAAAAAACTGAATAAATTTAACATAAACTACAAAAGAGTTTCCACCAAACAAAATAATTAAGGTTTTATTGCAAGCATAGCATATTTCTCTTAAAAGACGATCCTTCATTTTTTTCAAAGTACCATAAAATATGTATCAAAAATTTTGCATTTCAGTGACTTTTTAACGCATATATTAATTAATCTGCAGCGTCTAACTGCAATTAGAATATATGTGCCAATGTTTAAAATCTCAAAAATGACAATATGTGTACATGTTATCAAATTAAAACCAAATTGGAAAAGACCTTTACAAATTGGGAAATGAGGATATGGGGTGGGATACACATGAGAAAAAAATCTCATGACATGTAAAGAATTATATCAAAGGTTATCTGTCTTGAAGGTTGAAAGTTCTTTACTGATGAATTATAGAATTAACAACTTAACAGCAAGCATACACATATTGGAGGTGCTCATTCTGTATCAATGACAATATCATGAATTATAAACAAACAATAAATAATAAAATTTGTACTTGCATTTTGCTCCCATAACCTGTACTTTAAAAAACCACTAAAATGTTTAGTGTGTCCACATCTACATAATGTAATTTAATAAAATTGTAAAGTATTATAATCAACTTCTAAGGGCTATTTCTGTACCTATTCATAAATCACCGTTAAATAGCCGTTCATATCTAGGTGGTGATAATAGGGCAATTATCACTGTTACTCAACATGGTTTTAATTTTCGAAATATGTCTGGACAAATTCTAAACAAAGGTGAATGTAAAGATCAAACTAAAAAATTATCCTTAAAGACAAAAAATATAACAAGTTTTAAAATATAATCCTGGATTATTAACTCACCCGGCCCCCATGTTGAAGAGAAATCCCAATAAATCCATTCTTTGCGAGCCAACACAAGTTTTACCACAATTTAAAAACCATGATAGGACCTACATGTGAAAATTTATGTGAATTAAGATTGTAAAGATTGTTTCTATAACCATGTATTAACTTTACCTACGGAAGGGTTCTTTCAAAAAATAGCATGTTAAAAAGAGAACATGCTGATTTGGTTATCAAACTTTTTTACAGGTGGTACCTATTCAACAATCATGTTTTAATTTATCAGATATTTTCTATTTTAAACCAATGTATCTATAATCTATCAAAGTTGTTTTAAAAATCAATCTTGTTACAGCTTTAAGATTACAAATCTAGTTGAAAATTAATCTTGTAAAAGAATGCAAACATATTTAATTAAAAGCAAAATCCTCTTAAATTTAAAACTGTGAAGGTCGAGATTATAAAAAGGTCCAAAAACTAGCACAGATTTTAGGAGGGATACTAAAATACCATTGTCCTGAATAGCAGGGCTGCTTGGTTACAGAGGACAATTTAATTAACTGATGGCTTGTAATAAGAGTTTAACTTTCACTAGAAAAAAAGATTTTGCATTTTCCTTTATCATGAACAACATTTAAGTTCCTAATTAAAAGTTGTATCAAGGTTTTTTTCCCTACAGACATCAATAGCATTCATTGCTGTTTAATTATTGAATTGATTTTCCAATATTTTAAATAGAATGTATTGTTACATGATATTATTTCATCAATTTAGAATGAAATGTAATTCCTTTTTAACAATACAATGTATATTAAATATCTAATCCTTATGATCTTAAATTTGAGTCTCCATACAAATAGCTCCTGCATTACCAAATCTTACATAATTTATAAAGAATTATTTCATTTGAACATTAAAACATATATTAAAAATATATAGATTAAGAAAGTGACAAGTTCTAGATATAAATTTCAAAGATAAATACATAATCAAGATCAATTTCAGTTCTATCAAATACTTACAACTTTTTTAGCCTTTTAAAAATCATATTCATATTTTTCAATTAAATATTAAAGCACCTATTGTACATTTGAAATTAGACAACTTCAGTTGTGCTGATATTTACATTCATTAATTCAAATAAAATATTTTATGTTGACTTGATTGATGATTTTTTATTGAATTCCGTAATAGGTCCCTTTCAAAGGAAACGAAATTAAGTTAATGATATGTGAAATGAACTTTCGTTGTATAATTACAGTTAGAATTTTGACTTACGAAATATCAATGGTCTACACCCATCTATGTGGTCTTTAAAAACTAGGGCTTATTTCTGTCATAGCAGGAAATATGTGAAGGGACACAATTGAACAACCTATTTTTATGTTCTGACTAACAGGTACTAGTTGAGATATGAATCTTTAATAAGATTAATATACATGTAGTTCAAAGTATAACTGAAACTCCTAATGACACCATTGAAAAAAGATTAGGCAAAACATCAATAAGACAGCAACCTAAAACACAATCTAACCAAACAGACTTTTAAAGGTAACTAAAGGGTTTGGATGGGGTCCTTCATTTCTGTCTCCTTTCTTTCTGTAATTATTCAGGTAATTTTTCTCTAGTCTTTTTATTTTTGTTCATAATTCTCTAAAAAAATATTTATATTTTAGCACCCTTTAACTCTCTATTCTTTATTTTTGGGGACTTATTTTCTGTAGTTTGGGACCATTATTCTCTAATCTGTAAACCCTATCCAGACCCTCCTATTTGTAGATGTATTAAAGGGCAAATATGAAGAAATACGGAAAAAGTTTCAGTTACTTGTAACATGTTTGGAAGAAATGCAATATTTGGCACTTGCTTAAAATTGATAAGAGATTTCAAGAGAGACATACATGTGCAATCCCTTAAAACAATAAAATGACCAAGATGATTTCCTTAACAAATGACCATGATAAAAGATGCATGCAATCAGTTTTTTTAGATTATAAAATAAATATTGAATTAAACTTAAAAAAACTACAAATATTAGCAATGAATAGTTTTAAGACCTCTGACAGTAGGCATTCTGAAATGTGGTCTACATTCTTTGGCGCTTTTATGATCATTATTGAAAGCAGATATTTAAATGCATATAATATATTGATAAACTGTATAAAGCAGGTTTACATACATGTTGTGTTTGTTCCCACCAACTGATTCATTCAAGTGTAAATTTGAAATTAAAAAAAATAGTGAAAAATCATTATAAATTTTCTTCTTTATGTAAAATCCATAATATAAGCAAATAAAGGGACAAAATAATGGTCATTAACACTCAAGTTTAATGACCAAAATTTGTTTTATGCCTTTGAGATGAATTACCCATGTGTGAATCGATTTCTCATAATTGCTATCAATATATTTTAACTTTACTTGTTTACATTAGCATATAGAATATAATAAATGTATCAAAGTGCTAGTTTTAATTCATTGAATAAGCATTGTGAAACATGACATAATTTAAGATCAGAAATGAACATGATTAAGTTAAAACCAGTTATCATATAACCAGGAAAACAATATGTATTATTTTCAAAGATTATTTTAAAGGACAGATGTACACATTAAATCATTAGTAAATATAAAATTTAACCATGCTTGACAGAAATACATTTTCAAATGATTTTTAATATAGTATCAAAAGTTAATTGTACCGATATCTCACAACAGAGCATCAGGGATGAATACAAAGTTTTATAGTGGAAGGGGGAGGGGGATAAAACCTGATATTTCATTACCTTTTTGGGTTGATCTAAAAACAAAAACATATACTAACAAAAAGGGGTGAATCCAGAAATTTATAGTGGAGGAGCAAATAAAACCTAAAAACTATTACTTTATGTCTACCTTAAAGTAAAAATTAATTCCTACCATCTTCTTGATATTTGTTATGCTTTGTTTTATTTCATTTTTTCAAAATGGTTAAAAGCATTTAAGGCAACCTCCTCCTAACCCCTTTCACCCCTTAGAACTAAGAAGCCTAGATTTCTTGATACAAACAAAGATCATCCTTACCTTGTCTCCATACTGTCTCACAGGAAATATTACAAATTTCAATATTTAAATCTTTTTGTACAATATTCCATATCAGTATTTCTATTTTACACATTAATCCACCGAAAATTTTCACTATCCATTTTTCCAATAATAATCAATGTAAAATGAAGGCAACATATCTCTTCAAACCTGAACAAAATCTCAAAATCCCAAGTTAAACATTGTACATTTTTCTATAGACTGACGGCACGAGGACACTTTCCAATAAATTAAATATCTAACAACATCTGAGTTTATTCTTGTATGAAAAGGCTTTTTTAAATCCTTATGAATTAAAAATTCCTATACAATGCCTTTGACAGGCGTGATATGCTCTGATCAAATGAAGCATGACTTGTCTCTGGTCCTTTAAGATAAACAAACATCAGTCGTTTACTACATAACAAAATTTTATATCAAGTTATCGATTAGATATGAAGAAGAGGAGTTGTGGGCCATCTCATCAAGGTCTTTTTGAAAATATTTGAAAATTTCATTTAAACAGCTATTGTTAAAATGGTAATGATTTTTAGAATACACAAATTATGGATTATTTAAACATCTCAACAGCACTTTAAAGTTATATTTGTAAAAATAATTACAATCTTTTAAGAACGTTAAGAGAAGAATTTTTTAAAAACATTCCATATCTGTTTATTTAAAAATGACGCAACCCTTTCAAAAATAAATATAAAATTTACAAATATGGCAGTTTTGCAACACTTTGACAGCAATTATCTTAAAAGGTCATCATTTGTCAAAATAATATAGATTTTTTTAAAAGATAAAATTATTTCAATGAACTTTTAAAATATTGGTATTTATTAGCCCAAGATCTGGCTAAGATTCATCTTTATAAGTTCATTCTGAAACAATCGACATATCACAAAAAATTAACTTTAATTATTTTTTTTATAAATCCAGTTTAAATAACAAGTACACATGTAGTTATAAACATTAAACCATCATTTCATAAAGGATATCAACGAATTGAATCGATGTGAGTTATTGTTTGTCTATAGGATTTGCATTCAACATAGAAAATATTGAAATATTGAATTTTAAAAGTAGAGGAATATTATCAACTTCATACTAAGTCCATGCATATCAAGTTTGCATACTAAGTATACAATTAATATACCTAAAGATAATTTTTTACATACTAAGTATGCAATTAAAATACCTAAATATAAATGAGAAAATTACAATGAAAAGGATAATTGACATTCTCAAGATACAAAGGGAAATAACCATATAACAAAGGGAGATAATCATATATCAAAGGAAACACCTCTATTGCTGATCTCCATTTTGCTAGTTACTAAAAATGAGCATGGAAACGGGGAATGTGTCAAAGAGACAACAACCTGGCCACAGAGCAGAAAACAGCCTAAGGACACTAATGGGTCTTCAACACAGCGAGAAAATCCCATACCTGGAGGCGGACTTCAACTGGCCCCTAAACAAAAATGTGTACTAGTTCATAGAAAATGGATGTCACACTAAACTCTGATATATATAACCGTTGGTTTACTGTTAGAACTTGAACAAAGAGTTCGAAAACTAAATGCTCTCAATTTACTGTGGTCCAATTTTAACTACCGGTACTAGTTGTAACTCAATTTACCCAAATAGTCTCCTGATTTCTTGCATGGTTTGTGGTTTCCTTTATTTCCCTGTAGTAACAAACATTGTACCTTTTGATTCAGATTATCTGTAATGTAAATTGTACACATTTTAAAATAGTTATGTAAAGAGTAACCATCAATTGATAAAAGTCTACATGTTTGTTCTAAACAGACGGAAGTAGCATAGATACTTTATATTCAGTTTTATTTGAGGTTTGTTTGAAGAGTTTTTCAAATGACTTTATAAGCAGTCTTTCAGTTTCATGGTCATCTCCTATTTTATAAGAGGATAGTATACTATAGAAAAGGTATTAAAATTACCTTTATTTAAATTGCCATATCAAGTTTTTTTCTTTTAAAATCATTCACAACTTTTAGGCTTTTAGTGCAATTATGAGCTTGACATATGATCACATTTGGTAGAGACACTTGTGAAATGTATACTTGACAGTATTTTGACCTTTAGATGTCTTCTTTGGTTTTATTATGTTGTTAGGTTGCTGTCTATAACAAAAAATCTCCTTCAGTTCACATTCTTTTAGCACTTAGCTATTTTATAAAATTATGATATCTACTGGATTTTTTGGGTTTTTTTTTCCATTGTTGTATTATCTTTATAGTATATATAATTTGGGTCTACTGGTTTCTTTAAGGTGCAATATACTTGAGAAGTAAAATTTATATGATGTCTACTGATTGAACCATATTCTTTTTTTTTGTTTGGTCCACTGAGTGTGTTATTAGAAGAAACATTTTTCTCAACATCTAGCAATGATGGAATACGTGTACAATATGTACTTTAGCAACGGCATGATCTTTTTTTGTCAACCAGGTACTTTTAAAGTGCTTCACAATTTACGTCAAGAACGGATTAAAGACCTTCCAGGAACCATCCAAAAATGCCAAAGTGGATATCAAAATTAGAGTCAACAACCCTGAGGAACAATAAATTGTTTTGTTCTGATAAGTATCACAGCTACCACATGTATCGTGTTATCTCCCCCTGTCATTAAACGATTAATTCACCTACCAGTTTAATCTAAGTAAACATAGATGTCAATTTCAACAATTTACCTGAAACAAATTGTAAATTCATAAATCGCTCATCGTAAATTTTAAATACCAATTTATTTTGTAACAGTACAATGGCTTAGTGCACTAGTTTATCTTCACAACATAAAAGAATCATTGTATGAATAGTGCATTGCATGATTATAGCCTTTTCCAAAATGAGCCTCCTCATGGGGTTTTTAATTGTATGATAACTTGGCCGTTTTTTTAGTGATTATCTTATTACTAGACCAAATATTTCATGATTATTTGATCATCTAGGACCTTATTTTGGATTAATTGATTACCGAGTTTAAAAAAAAAAATTGTTGTGAATGGCAAAAATATAAATTTTGGCTTGAAAGACGTCAATTTTTTTCGCCTCGCTCCGCTCGGCTTAATTGTTAAATTTAAATCCTTAGTTTGAACGCGTTTGCCCAGCAATCTGATTAAAATTCATATCTACATAACCTCGCGTGCTCGTAGATATAAGTATTACCAGAAGTCCATTTTTACTGACTTCTTCAGTAATAAAGGATCGGGATATGAACAATGTGCTGAAATTGAGTATAAGACATCATACTATATATATATCTTTATTTCTCAACAAACCAAATTACATTGGTATAGAGCAAGGATTTGTATAGTATGAATCCTTGTATAAAGATACACACAATAAATATTACATAATGTATATGTACAGACATACAAAAGTTATACGAAAGCAAGAGAGAGGCAAAAATCATAAATCACAGTAATATTAAACTAAATGATATCAAGTACATGAGTTACCCAGGAGAGCCTACATGCATATTGACTAGTCTTATAAATTGGCACAAGTTGATAAGATCAGAAGGATTTTTACGATTCACCAGTTCATTAAATTTCAATGAATTTGGTTGATTTGTATATCTTTTTCTCAATAACTGTTTACGACCATCATTAAATACAGAGCATATAAAAATATAATGAAATTCATCTCCGATGTCGCCAGAGTTACAAAGTAAGCATTTTCTATTTTAACATTTTGCCATCTACCAGTCTCAATAGGAAATCTATGAGTTCCTGTTCTCAGTCTACATAATGTAATAATATTTCTATCATCTAAATTTTAAAAATAATAATCAAATTCACAGTTTTCTTTATACGTATGATAGTTTAAAGCTTTTGGCGATTCTAGCACGTTAGTGTGCCATTTCTGTTTAAATTGATCAACACGATTTTGTTTAACAATTATAGTATATAGCCATGTATCACTTACAAAATATTGGGTATCACACACAAATGACAAACCAGAGTCATCAGGCATGGATTTAACATTTTTTAACCAAGTGATATCATTTTTATATTTATACAATGAGGACTTGTATAGAATTGCAGGAAGTTTTTCTTGCTTTCCAGACAACAATTTTGTCCAGTAGTTAATTATACGAAGTTTTATATCAACTTCCAATTTTGAATGAAGGTGTGGTAAATCTCAATGAGACCATAACAGGCATATATAAAAAAAAAAGTTCCCTGAAGTCACAAACAACTTGAAGATCTATTCCTCACTTGAAGATCTATTTCCACTACTTATGCAATATTATGATTACCATTAATAATATGAATAGAAATTGTATGCATTTAATTTAGAAACGATCCGGGTAAACTTATCAATGATCATTTAAATAAACTTCTTTTAAAAGGTTACCAATTCAACACTGTAATTAGATCTTTGAATATTGTTTGTATTGGTATAAATATTGATTTTGTTATCAGTAAATTAAAACCATACTAAATATTATTGTTATACACATATGCACTTTCACGGTACTTCAATCTGTCGATACCTATATTTTGGCATTGCACAAGGTCATGACTGTTAATGACGTCTTTACGCTAAATCCATTGGATGTTGAATGTGTACTGATTGATATTTTAGTCTTAGATACATGGTTTTTTATTAGTTATTATTGGCTTTGAACTAGCTGTCAGTAACTGCGATTACTCTCAGATCTGTACTTTTATGTCTTTTTTGTTGTTATGGGTGTATAAATACCCTGGCTTAGGCTGCCACATCCGGTCTGTGTTTTTGTAAGATGTTTTCTGCTTTGTATCGATCTGATGAGTAAATCTCTTTTCAAATGATTTTTTTATAGTTTGTTCTTATGTTGTGCTGTAACACTACTGTCCCAGGTTAGGGGAGGGTTGAGCGCTAACAAACATGTTTAACCCCGCCACATACTTTATTGAATCAATTGAATTGTTTCATATTTTTCAAAGGCCTTTTATAGCTGTTTATAGCTGACTATACGGTATGGGTTTTTCTCATCGTTGAGATACGGTTGCCTATATTCCACACGCTTTTTCAATACACTGCATGACATGACTTAAGCCACATCGGTACGTTTAACCCACAATTTCAACTGCGTCTAGAAAGGGTATGTGAATGGACATACAATAATTATGCCTCTTATCTGGGACATAATAGTCCCAACTCTGATGAGGGTGTGGATGGAGGGTCCTTTATTTCTTTATTCTTTAATCTTTTAGGCCATTTATTTCTATTCTTTATTAGTTTTGCCCATTTAGTATTCTCTATTCTTTGTTATGTTTGCCTATTATTCTCTATTCTTTATTTCTTTGCCCTTTATTCTGCTCTTTTTGACT